TAATTTTCCATTTTTCCCCAATGCGGAGCCTGGTCCCAGCCTAAGACAGCTCATAGAGCCATCATTAAAACGGTTTTATATAACATATGCAGAAGAGAAAGGAAAACAGGTTCACAGCTTCTTGGGGCGGCTATATAAAATTAATAACAAAAGAAGAGTTTGAGAACGCTTGTGTACTAGTGAGTAATGGAGTAATCCTCATTATTAATTGATCTCCCAAGGTATCTTCTCCCATCTCATACACTACAATGCCCCGCCAAAGTGCAGAAATGCACCGTCAAGGGATGTGGAGAAACGGTCAGGAGGAAGGACAGGAAAAAGCACGAGGATGAAAATATGTCCCGCCACTACAGCCTCCTTAAAGAGGAAAACGAACGCATTCTTTGGAGTGCCAGCAAAATGGTGAGTTTGCCCGAAATGCCATGAAGAATTTTATTGTTAGGAGACATTTCAAGGAAACCTCTTAACAGAGTCTCTGGAGTGAAATTATAGTATCTGTAACCCGAATTGTTTTGTTACAATTAGTACAAACTTAAAAACAAGAAGCTGAATAAATAACCTCATTACATAGTCATAGAACCATTGCGATCGGCGCTGTAACATGTATTGAATGCTTGGAAAGAAATTATAGCATAAGTTGTCAGACAGGCAGACGGATGCGGTCATTAAGTTAAACAACCTGAAATTCGCGAAATACGAAATAAACATTGCTAAGTACCCAAACTAAGCGTGAAAAAAGATAGCCCTTACACAACAACTGAAAGTCGCTGCTAACAAGACAATTGACTTTACTCGTTCGTGGACTGGTTTCTTCAGACTTTCCAACGGGAAATTTTGAGAAAAAGACGTAAAAACAACTTACAACAAAGCTTGAATAAAGCTTTCTGAAGCCATTTTAAGTATTTTGAGTGATTGCTGGGAAAAATTTATCTGTTCCTCACTCCCCGCGCAGAAAAAAAAAAGAAATTTGTTTGTAAGAAACGTAAACTTGCTTTTTGCGAAAATTTAAAACGTTGGGGGAACGTTACGTCCAAAATTTTGTTTCGAGGAACACTCGCGTCATTCTCATTTCTGAAGCTTTGATTAAAACGAAAACGGATTACGACTCTTTTTTCGCATTTGCCTATGGATCACAATGAAGTTCTTCGTTGCCAGATTGTTGCAAAAAGAAAAAAAGGTTCGCTGTTTTAGCCGACAGTGTACGTAGAGTTGCAATGCACCTTGAAACTCCTCGAGTTCCCCTTATGTTTTTTTCGTGCTTTCATCTAAAAACAAGCATAACAATTGTCCTGCTGATATGGTATTTCATCCAAGAAAGATGTTGTTAACGCCTCCTGTGGTACTTTTTTTTTCACAGAAGTGGCTTCATGTTAAGACAGGAAGAACAGGTGAGGCGGGAGCATACACATGGAGTATCCCCGAACTGCTACGGCGACATATGTTCGCCAAGCTTTGAGATGTGGGGCCGTAAGTGGCGACTGTTCTGCATAAGACGAGGAGGCATCATCCACTACGGCCTTGAAAATGAAGAGGGAGACAGGCCTATCCACTTGTCAGTGAGGTACGTTTGCATGCAGCAAATTCTTAAAGGGACACACCGTCCTGTCCGAAATTTATATTATACTCTGTAAACCTTAAGTGGCGCAGTGGGGGCTAAGGGGATAAAGGATGGGAGTGGGACGTCTGTGTTGCGACCTTTTCAGCTAACTCGTTTTTCTCTCTTTGCAGTTTCATGGTCGAGAGCAGCAGTGAGGGTAAAGAAGTATATAACATACCCCTTTTGGAGTTTAAGAAGGGACAAATGACCGAGCAAACTAAGACGGGCAGTATGCCTAAAGCCATAACGGTCAATATGGCATTGTTAGGGCCGAGCTTTACTAAAGATTCATAATTTCTCTTTCTAAATCTATATAGTGAAATCGATTTAAGACCTTGTTAAATAAAGCTTAACTCGAACAGGGGGCGCGGTCCTTCACTTGATATTTGGATTTCTCTTTATTCACGTCTAGTCACTCCTGGTAGATGATAGATGATAATTGCTTTTGGGAAATGTACATAATAACCTAAATATACTTGAGTACATCCATCTATAAAAATGAGTACATCCATCTATAAAAATGAAATACCGTAAATCCTCTTCTAGCCACCCCATCTTTAAGAACACCCCCTTTTCCCCCAATTATTGTTCACTAATAAATGTTAATTTATTGGGATCAATCAACCACAAATGTAAAACTTGGAAGTTCGGTTTGATTCGGATTGTCGGCTACATGACCTCCAACTTTCTTTTACTTGAGTTTTTCTACTTTGCGGTCTAGTCCCTTTGGAGAATATATACCATCTTGTTATCTAAATTAAATAACCCCCCCCACTCCCGTCTCTATTAAGCCCCTCCTCAAGTGAGCCTCCTCAAGAGATTTACGGTATTAACCTAACTGTTTGGCGTTTTGAAAAGGTTTTGCTTGGTTTTGACCCCCAAGGATTGGAACTTCGCCTGGGCGCAAACTGGGTGGATATACTTTTCTTATTTTGGCCATCTGGCTTCCAGGAATGTGTGGAAGATCAAAGTTTTGCGTTCTAGTGTTGCCTAAAATATGCAAGTGAAGAACAAAATAAGAAGAAATGTACATTTCAGGCACATTGCTCGCTGGGCGCAATTATTAGACAACGGCAGTGCGATCTCGTTCTTTGAACTTCTTTGTGATAATTAATTCAAACCAGTTTCTGCCAAAAAAAGGCGGATATTACTAGGGGTGAAATCATAGTGAACGAGATAGGAAAAGACAGTCCTTCCTATTCGTGTAACGTCAAGAATCAAACTGTGAATTTATTTGATTTTTCGGTTATTATTTATTATTAGCAGATTTCAATAGTTATAACAGATTTTGCCTTTGGTTTTCATCTGTATTGTGCACTGAGTGTAAAAGTGCCAATTTAAAAGTCTTCTATACCTTTTAGACTTTTAAATAGAGATAAGTTTAGTTTTCGTCCACATGTATTTTTCGGAGTGGTAAAAGTGAGTGTTCCGAAAGAAGTACTTTGAGACTAATAAAACAGAGTCATAATTAGAAGTCACAATGTCAAGGGGACGTAATTTTTCAAAACGTCTTATTACAACGATGAATATAATTATATTTAAAAATTAATGTACGACTCAGTCTTAATTATCATATTGACTCCATAAATCAACTTATTTAAATAGACTTACAATCGATCAATTTGACTGAATATCGGCATTAGCGAAATCGATTTAACCATAAATATACTAAGCCTTAAATCAAAACTAAATTCAACCAAATTCAACGAAATCTTAAATCGATTTAACCTTAATTTAACTAAATAAGTCTTAAATAGATTTAAGCTTAAATTGATTATTTAACGACTAAGTCTTAAATCGATTTAACTGTAAATAAGTCTTAAAAGTCTCTAAGTCTTAAAACGATTTAAGAAATAAACGACTAAGTCTTAAAACGATTTAAGCTTATATCGATTTAAGCTTAAATAGATTTAACGACTAACTCTTACAACGATTTAAACTTAAATCGATTTAAGCTTAAATGGATTTAACGACTAAGCTTAAATCGATTTAAGAAAAAATGGATTTAACGACTAAGTCTTAAAACGATTTAAAGCTTAAATCGATTTAAGAAATATACTAAGTCTTAAATCGATTTAAGCTTATATCGATTTAAGCTTAAATCGATTTAAGAAATAGACTAAGTCTTAAATCGATTTAAAGGTTAAATCGATTTAAGCTTAAATTGATTTAGGAAATATACTAAATCTTAAATCGATTTAAGCTTATATCGATTTAAGAAATAGACTAAGTCTTAAATCGATTTAAGCTTATATCGATTTAAGCTTAAATAGATTTAACGACTAAGTCTTAAAACGATTTAAAGCTAAAGTTATGTATTTTTATTAAAAAATTATATAATGCTGTTTGTTTTCATTATGCCAGCCGCCGATAAATATTTTTACCCTGTTAAATAAATTTACGTAGTTACGTATTTTTATTTATTAAATTTATATAACACCCTATGGCCAGCTGCTGATAATGATCCAGAGTTATTGTGTTGTAAGCAAGTATAACTGCCTCTTTTGCCTCGAAACCTCAAGCACGGCTGAGGATACTAACTCTTGTCGCCGCCATCCTTATACATGTAGTCCGCGTGAGCCTCCCAAGTCATTGAGCTGTTAAACACTATGCCTACCGTGTGGTACGAGTTTATTTTTGCGAATTTGTGATTTTTTTGTGTTTTGCGTGAACTAATTTTTGCGATTAGGACAGAATGGTTTTTCTCGCTGGGAATTAATTTTGGCGATTTTCAGAAAGTACCCAGTACCCAACATTGACAATATTTTCATTTTTATTGAGTACTTGCAATAGAAATGCATATTTTCAAACAATGAACCAGTATTTCGTTGTATACCGTTTATTTTTTTCTGAATGAAAGAGACAAGTTGTGATTGAACAGATACGATTTCTTAGTACTTTATTTTTGTGCAGCAAATTTAAGTTAGAGAACACTTACTCTGCAGTAAATTTTTGCGGAAAAATGTTTGCGGTAATTTTTATTTGTGGGAACTTATTTTTGCTGATCGCTGGAAAAATCGCAAAAATTAGAACTCACAAAAATTTCGTGCCACACGGTAGGTGTTTGAAAGTAGTTTGCAAGATATGGCCTTTACGAGAAGATTCGGACCACACCATCACAAATCTATCGAAGTCTGACTAAATTTCCCCAAACAGCAGTCTAAATTATCCATGAAAAACCCTTAGGGGAACCGGGATAATATGATATTTACAGTACAAATTTACAATTGCTTGGAGATGGCTCCATATTGACCTCGTTTTTGTGTGCGTGTTTTTTGGATTTGAACCACAAAACTATATAAAAAAAAAAAGAAAAAGAAAAAGAACTCGACCAACATCGCGCCCGGATATCAAGCCATTTTGACTGAATAAACTTGGGCCAAAACGCGTTAGATATGTATCATTACTTCCCTAAACATGTTAGTCCTTGCCTGAATTCAGCAGAGTAGAACCCATAAATTAAAACATTAACCAGGGAACTTGACAACTGAAGTATGAATGCGAAAATGGATAACGCAGTGGTGCCGTAGCCGAACGCTATCATCAAATCGTGCAGTAGAGGAGTTCCTATACAAACAACAAATCCTAGAACCATTAAAACGAGCATGCGTAATGCCTTTCCTTTTGATTTCATAGCCGCTTGACTGGTAATTCCATTACGACTTTTCCTTCTCAGAAAAACAGCAATGCTAGAGTATGCCACCGTCAAAATTGCCAGTGGTAACAGGAATCCCAGAGTAAAATAGGCAGTTGTTATTATCTTTTGATTGACTGAATCCTTAAAGTAGACAGAACGGGGGGTGACAACTCTAACAAAGGCTGTTTGGGCAGTCCTATGAATAACTTTATATCCTCCCGGAAATTTCGTTGAACCTCCCGAATTTTTCGGTGGCATTCCCCATAAATGTTTAACTTCCCAAAATTGTTTTAACAATTGAAATGAAAATTTTGATTAGAGATTTTTTGCAGCTTCTTGTTAATTATGTAACTTGTTAATTATCTAACCTTAGTTATTTTTTCGTTTAGAGGGTATCATGTTAACACAGAAAGACTGTCAAGCTTTTTAAGTGTATAAAATCGTGTTTTTTTGTTTTTTAATCACCGATGGATCAGGCGAACAGTGAAGGGGCCAACCAGTAGGGGGGTCTGGGGGCATGCTCCCCCATAAAATTTTGAAATCTTGGTGCTCTTAAACGCCATTTCTAGTGTTCTGAGAGGACAAATTCTGTCCAAAATGTTCTCTAAATCAATTGTCCTTTTTATGCTTATTTTTATTAGCGTGACTTCGCGTAGAAGTAGTCAATTTTATTTTATACAAGTTGTGCGGTTTTTGAAATTGCTCTGGATATCACTTTCAGCTAAGTATACTCTGTGTGGTGTCATTGTATGAGTATCATAAGAATTCATTTGAAAATTTCAGAACAACTGTCGAAATCTGAAATTTTCCTATCCCTAACGCATATTGATCGGGATTCGGGATTTTCGAGCAAAATCGGAAGGACCCCGACGAGATCAGGATGATTAAAGAGTCTTCACAGACATACTACTTTTTATGGCCTCATTTGTGTTTAACAAGGTTAAATGAGTTTCGTTTTCTTCTTACATACTTCTTACGTACTTCTTTCAAGTTTTCCAGTATGCAATCAGTGGAATGTGCTCTTAAAACTCGTAAAGGTGCAGCGTAAAAATACCCCTGAACTAATGAATGATGGGATTGGTATGAACTGATAGTATGCACCGGTACGGTTCTTGTGTCAATCCTCTGGGGATTGCACGTGGTCAATCGCACTCGAACTTCATGCTATTTTAGTAGCAAACGTTGCTGATTGGTCTTTTCATATCATGGGGAGTTCAGCCGTTTTCAAGTGTCAAAATACATAGAATACAGCGCATACACTGGGTGCATATCACTGTAGATATAACTTGTTTGATAACATGTAATATCAAATCTTTGCTCAATGTCCCGAAAATATCTCATATTTCCCGAAAAATTTCCCAGGTTTCCCGATTCCCGGCAAAATCTCCAGATTCCCGGAATAAATTTGTTTTTCTCCCGAAACAGCCCTTGTTAGAGCTGTCACCCCCCGTGATAGAGGCGCGCACACACGGTAGATAACGGTTATATTGACTCCCCGGTGATTGTAATAAGTGTTGTTTGACCCAATGAATGTAGTGATCTTTTCGGTGAATATGTGCGGAAAAGCGCAAACGATGGAATATCCCCAAACCGCCGTAATGCATCTCAAGAAATTTGGTTTATGTCTGAGCCTTTGAAATGGTTTCGTTATAGCATGATGTCTGTCCAATGCGATCACCACCAAACTCGTGAAAATTGCTGCGTGTACAAAGGAAAGTAGAGTCTGGCTGATTTTACAAATTAAATCCTTACTTTCCACCGGTAAAATTGTGGCTATAAGATAGGAGGGTAGAACTATAAGCCGATATACCATGTCTGTGACCGAGAGATGGAAAAGCATAAAGTTTGACAGGTGTCTTTTCAAACGACATCCGCGAGTCAATGTTATGCAGACAACACTTAGCAGCAACACCAACGATGAAAAGAGAAAGAAGCAGGCAATTAACCAGAAATAACGCAGTCAGGCTAGATAACAGATGATGAGTATTTGCAATCGTCGAATTAATACCAGCAGGGTGAACCATGATCGCTTTGAACGAAATATGGCCAAAATGTAGGTTGAGTCCTGTTAAGATTCTCAGATATTTCCATAAGGTAATTAAAGGTGACAAGACGGAAATTACACCCAATGTTCATAAACAAACCACTACAAAAGCACTACTACATATTATAAATTAATGATGAAGGGGAAGGAGTCATTCTTCGGGTGAGTTATTTATCACATCCAGCTGTCAGAGTTAAGACAATGAAAGAATGGACTTTTGATCAAAATAACTTTTATTCCAATCAAATTCGTATTAATGAAATTCAAATGACCATGTTTTCTTAAATCAAATATAAAAATTATTTTCATGAATTAAAGTGACATGTGCCAAGGGCTAGGGGGAAAAACGTATTGTTGACTTAAAGTAAATTCGGACTTATATTAAAAATATAACAAGTTCTTATCACAGCCTTCAAAATTTCAGGGTTCAACACACAAGACCAAACATTTTCCCGATGTTTAATTATTTATTGCCTCCGCACGGAAGGCGAAACCCGAGGAGGCACCCTGCTGGTTTGCAGGTATATTAAGGAAAATACTTCAGGGTTCAACACAGAAGACCAAACATTTCCCCGATGTTAAATTAATTATTGCCTCCGCACTAATGCTCGAAATCCCGAGGAGGCACTCTAGTAGTTTGCGTGTATTTTAAGGAAATTACTTACAGTTAAAAGATACATTCAGTATACCAGAAAAAAAGCTCCATTTGCTTGAACAGGGTCCGCATGGAATTGATGGGTAATGATGACGTTTCTATTTTCGTGTCCGCAAGTAAGAGATGGTTAACATGACGTAAAACAGAAAATCCCGAAGGGACAGCTTAGGTAGAATTTGTGACATTTATTCTCGGCTTGCACTGTCACGCAATGAAAAATAAAAATGCAAACCATTCAATACAGAAGGACTAGAATCTGGGAAATGAAAAAAGATAAATATACAAAAACCCTTGCCAAGAATCAGGTCTGTGAAATATTTCAATTGCGAGATGCTGGGAAAAACGGTTTACCTAAATTTATAAAGCTTTATATGGAAACGCCATATTGCTGTCCCTTTCAGGAACACCAATATGGCCGCCGGATACCAACAGAAACGTCTGTTTTCGATTTTTCCTTCTAATGCGTGAATTCTTCGCTTGAGGAACTCATAAAGATTACAGTAATATTTAATCTGAGACAAGGAACTTAGATTGCAAAATCTCCCAAAAGCGGTAATGTTTTTAACCCACATAAGAGCTTTCCCGGCCGCCAGCAAAATGCCGCGTCACGCAAAAGCCTGGAAATTCATGCGTCCTCTCTCGCAAAACGAAGAACCCTTTCGAACCAAAAAGTTGTTTATGTAAAGATGTTTAGGTACTGTAATACCTCGTGAAAGTAGAAACTCAGAAGAATCAATAGCTTCTTAGTTTGATTTTTGGTGACGTCACGTGCAACCCAAGAATTGTACGGTTATACTTCGATACTCTTTTGGGTTACGTGTTATCAGTGACATTCTGTGAAGTAGCTGTTTTGAAAGTTATGGACCAAGACTCGTGATGCGCTGATGAAGTTATAAGGTGCGTATAACTGTGTTTATTATATATTCAAAATATTTCTCCGTTTCTGATTGGCTCAAGTCACACGCGTAATTCATCATAACCATCTCCTGTAGACCAAATTTGGAAGAATTTTGCCATATTGAACCGATGACGTCAAAAGTGCACCAAAGTTGTAGATTATTGAACCGTTAACCGAGAAGACCTGGGAATGAGTTTGAGTTGTTTTCTAAGTGAGTAATGGCGGATCATAGCAAGAACAGCAAGAAGACAATTCGCGGACGACATCTGCTATTTGGAGTAGAGCAATTTTCGTTTGACCTTGAAATGAAAACGTGCGAACAAAACAGAAATAAAAAACGAGCGGAGATAAAGCGATTTGATTGGTTCATCGAACGGATACAAACGCTCGTGGCTTTTGATTGGTTAAGCGAACGCTCGGGTGAAAAAACTCCATGCCCGAGAACTTTGTAGAAATCAACTTGGCTTTGACGTCATACTGCAACACGATTGGCCATCGAACAATGCCTTCTCCATACTGAGGTTTTTCTTCGGCGGGAAAACGAAGAGCCACGTTTTGATCTTTTCATCCATTGGCTGATAAAAGAAATTACGAACACTTACAGAAACAATTTTTCAAGGTCATACGAAAATCGCTCTATATTTGCAGACCTGAACAGCCCTTTATCGCCTAAACTTCCCGACAAATATACTCTATTAACACCGACGGAGGTAAGCATGTGTTAGCTTGTTTTAAAACTTGAAATTATTTTGAATAAATAGGCTCTTTGCATGACTTGATCACGTGATCAACGTTCGGTAAACACGAAAACAGTTCAATTCTGTTAGCACAAGCTGAAAGAGGATATTGAAATTAGGTAACCTGAGAATTTTCAGCCGTATATCTCAAAAGCAGCGATTGCAATGGCCGCCGAATGTTGGAAGCATTTGATCTATACACTTGCTTGTAATTTCGAAATTTTCAAAACTGTCATGAAATATTTCCTTAAGCATTACGGCACTCAAATCTCCTTTTAGTTCATAACAGACCATTTGAGCCCTTAAATGGGTAAGGGAAGGATTTAATGACAGTTTAAAAATGTTAGAATTTACAAGGATTTGTACGGAAAGCCATGCAAGCGTGACTGGGTGGCAAAAGTTGTTTTTCTCGTAAAGTCAAATGCTTCTAACTTTCGGCGGCCGTTGCAATCGCTACTTTTGAGATATACGGCTGAAAATTCTCAAGTTACCTAATTGTAATATGCTCTTTCAGCTTGTCCTAACAAAATCTTTCAAAAGTGAACTGTTTTTGTGTTTACCGAAAGTTGACCACGCCATCACAGTCATGCAAAAAAAGGAAGTATTGAATGAGGCTGAGTAGAATATGAAAAGTGAAAAGTTATGCAGATCGAGGAGGGTGTTATTCACCAAAGCCGAAGGTGATTTCTAAGTTTCACTTTCCAGCAAATAAAATGAACTGTATGCAAAAAGTGAAAGAGAAATAGCGAAAAATTCCAACTTCTAATTAAATCTCTTCCTATGGTTTAGAATAGGCTAATCTCGAAACTGAGAATGTTTTGATCAAAGCTGTGTAAATCGAACTGAATCAGTGCATGGAACCTTGCTTTTCCCTTCTTTTATCTCATCTATTGTATGGAATATGTCTAAAACTCTTCATTATGAATCGGTATATTTCACAGAGCTATACAACGACCAGGAATACTATTGACCAGGAAGCCCATCAAATGGAGCCTCCATCTCCATTAATTTCTTGAGTCAACCCTTTCCCGAGTAGATTTATAAATAGAACGGCTTGTTTCCCGCGAAAAGTGTCATATTTCCGTGAGTCTCGTATGTCACCGTGAAAAAAATGAAGTTGGATGAAGTCGAACTCAGAAGCCCGTCCTTCGACCGTTTTCCTTTTTTACTATACGTCCATTTTTACAGTTTTACAGCCGCTGGGATCTGGGATGAAATAAAAGTTAATGAATTACCCGACTGAGACTGAGCATGAAGCGATGGGACAAAGGCAGCGAACTGAGGATCACGGAAAGGTTCTTTGCGAGTATTTGTTTTTGTTTTTGTTTTTTTTTTTTGCCGTCATACATCTCACATTTAAGCATGCACCTTGATAAGAGTCGACGATTAAGCGTTCTGTGGACGATTTGAAACTTTTCGATGATCAGCGCCGAAAAAGTGCCAGGATCATTTGATTATTGTTATCGCCGTGGAGTGGATTTCGCCAGTTAAGCACCGCGTGCAAAAGCGAGCCTAAGTAGCAACTAAGGAGGAATGCTTCAGAAAAATTGCAGTCTTCCTTTATAACTGACTTGTATCACCATGAGAGTTGCCTGATAAAACTGGCACTTGAAAAGTTGAACAGAAGACAACAGTTGCTCGACCGTGAAGCTAACTCAAAAGTACTTTGCTAAAGCCGAGGAATTTGTGACATCGCGCTCCAGTCCAAAGACCCTCTTATCTCAAGAAAAACAAAATGGATTGTATCTGCGCCCAAAGAATTATGACTGACTAACAGAAGAATTCTCAGCAATTAATGTAGAAGTTTAGGCCAGTTCTTTCCTTCGAATTCGCATCTGTAGATCACTTTTTTGCGAAAAACAATGGCTGGGCTCGGCGTTACAAAACATAGCAGGGAATCATCACACTAACTGACGGACAAAACAACCACAGTATTTATTCAGACAAACGCGTTTCGGAGAAAAACTTAAACACTAGAAATTTGATTAGTATTGAGTCATTTAGCCGAAATAAGAACCTTAACGCTAAAAAAAATTGGCTTAAACGAATCCTGTCAGAACTACAGACTGCAGGTAGTAGTTAATCATTACGCAAGTAACAGAGCAGCTTCATGGCCTCTTATAAATGTGAGACAAGCAACCAAAATTAAGATTAACATAGTCAGGGTTTAAAACTCTCCACAGTATAATCTACCCGCTAGAAAGAAAAGAAAGAAAATCTCTGAGGGATGAAAACGCTGAAGTCAAGTTTCACTAGCTTATGATTTTGTTTGGCCTGTCAGCACCGGATTTCCTGCTGTTTCATGAAGTACAATAGCAGTGTCATTTAGTCGTTGTGATTGGCTCTTCCCACCGTCGGCGCGCGAAGTCTCCCCTGGGAACCGTTCTAATTATAAATCTACTCGGGAAAGGGTTGACTCCAAGGGCTTGTATGGGAGATGGAGGCTCCATTTGATGGGCTCCTGTATTGACCGACAATATACAGAGTGGGGGCAGCTATAGTGTCAACTATTACTAGTTACATTTTCCTTAGAAGAGCTGCATTTCACATAACTTCCATCTTCTTTTGCAGGCCATCTATCTGAGGGCCCGATTCCTCGACAGGTGGATGATAATAATAATAATAATAATAATAATAATATAATAATAATATAATAATAATAATACAATAATATTCCATATTCCAGTGGTTGTAGGTGCATTGGGTTCAGTGTCAAAGAAGCTGGCAGGCCACTTGAGGCAACTAGGAATTAAAAACCGAAGAAGAACGATGCAAAAGTCGGCACTCCTCGGATTGGCACATATCCTCAGAAAGGTGCTGGAAGTCTGAGGTCTCGGGAAAATCCCTGTGCTAAATTTTACATAATAATGATAATAATAATAATCATGGCGGCAAGTAGGGAGGTTGTGCTTTGAAGTAGCTCCATGATTCTATTTCATAGCCTTGCCCAAACGAAAGCAAGCCAAGCTCGAAGCGTCTAGGCATATTCTTAAGTACTTCTGAGTACTTTGCATCTTGTTTATCTAACAAGGAGATGACTGAGGGCGGATTTATACTATTAGAAGTTGAAAGTGAAGTACGCTAAACCGAAACTATGGCGGATTTTGAAGAGGAATCGCTAAACGGGAGGAATGCGAGAGCAGGAGGGATAAGATGGTCGGGAACAAATGAACAGCGACCTGTTGGAGTACAAGCGGCAAGCGCCATTACTCGCAAAATCGGAGAATCCGCCAGTTAAGGATAATGGAAGACGAAAGGGGTATATGGAACTTCTGAAAGAACTATGGGATCAAATGGGGCACGAAGATATGGGGTTTTTACAAAGCAGAATTTACGAGACCAAGCCGCTCGACTTGAAAAATCCCTAGGCAGCATCATAGTAATATCACTAACGGAATAAAAGCGAAGAGAGGTGGAGATAACGCAGAAGGGGCCTTAAACAACGGACGCCAAATAGCAAAAAATGCTGATCAAGAAGAACCGAATTTGCATACAACCCTGACCCAAAATCAACAGCGTAACAATAGTGATCTTTTCTCAGATCTGGGTTTGCATACAACCTTGACCCAAGAACAACAGCTTAACAACGGTGATCAAGAAAGGTGTAGCTTTTTAGAGCCAGCAAACAGGATAATGGAAACAATTAGCAACCACCCTGGAGACTATTCACAACGTGACATTGACACCAGGACAAAAGAAACACCATCAACAAAAGACTTGGAAGAAATGAACCGAGCGATTAAGTTATTAATTGAGCGCTACGAGGTAACACCAACGCAGAACCCGTTTGGTTTTCTGTGGTTAGCTAATTGCGCTCTTTACTCGGTGGTTTGCGCGTTTTTGTTGATGAAAGGATGGAAAAAAACAAGGGCCAATAAAGAGAGACAAACCGCAGGACAGAAAGGAAAAGTTTAAAAGAATTTACGACCAGGAGGCGGCGAAGATCAGAAAACAACTGTCAATCGCGAGAGCGGAAATCGAAAGGTTGAAAGAAAATAGAATTGCGAAAGATCACGAAAAAAGGAAGGAAAAATAGGTCTCACCTCCAAAAAGAATGCGTAACCATCTCTGTGGCAGGTTTGATTAGCTACATGGTGAAAAAAAAGTCGGAGCTCCGAAAGTTAAAACGTGGGTTTGACAGGAAAAAGAAACAAGAGGTCTCGCGTGTGATTAACCAACAGTTCAACACGGTCCCTGGAAGAGTGTTTGCGAATTTGAGTGAGATGTTGAAGAGGGACCCAGAGAATGAGCGGCCAAGATATAAAGATCCTGGAAAACGTGCTCGAGATGATTTGCGAATGTTTGAAAACATTGAAGAGGCGAGCGGGTTTTGGAGAAAGCTGTGGGAAGAGAGAGGGACTGGGAATAAGAACGCGGCCTGGTTGCAGGAAGTAAAGCTCGCGATCCACGAGCAAGTACCGCCACCGACAGGCGACGAATGGGCTCTAGAGGTAGCGGAAGCGGTCAAAGTCCTGTCCAAGAAGCGCAACTGGAGTGCGCCAGGGCCTGATAAAATCACTAACTTTTGGTGGAAACGTGCTAGCACCCTGCACGAGGTTGTGGTCGAGAGCTTCAAAGAAGTTTCTAAGAGCGACGAAGATTACCCCGAGTGGTTTTCTGAAGGGAAAACCTCCCTCATTCCGAAAGAAGGCGAGTTCCTCAGTGAAAATCAAAGACCTATTACTAGTCTGAATAACATGTAAAAGTGGTCTACACCTTGAACATTATGACCTAATGGAAGGCCAGCAAAGAGGAACGAAATCAGGGTGTTTCGGTACGATGGATAACTTGCTAGTCGATAGAGCAGTAATGCTGGATTGTCACAGAGGCAAACGGAATTTAAGTATGGCATGGATTGACGTGCGCAAAGCCTACGACTCCGTCGATCATGATTGGTTATGCGCAATGACTGACGCACACAGGCTTCCCGTCTGGCTGGGTGAGGTTATACGCAAGATATGGGCGAGCTGGAATACTAAAGTAGTAGCCACAACAAGGCAAGGGCGAGAGACTTCTAGACCAATAAGGTTCATGAAGGGACTACCCTAGGGGGACGCTTTGTGTCCTAGACTGTTTACACTGTGCCTGAACCCTGTAGCGTGGCGCCTGCGGGTAACAGAGGGATACCGGTTATCCAAGCCTATAGGAGTCAAAGTCACCGATCTCCTGTATATCGACGACCTCAAGGTTTTTGCTGCCTCCGAGAACAAGCTGAACCGAGTGCTGAAAGAGACTAGAGGAGCGATGCAGGATATCGGCCTCTACTGGAATCAGAAAAAGTGTCCAGTGGTACACGTGAAGAGGGGAGCCCAAGTGCTAGACGAGTCTGGTACGAGGATGGACGAGACAACTACCATTGGGGAAGGAAAACACTACAAATTCCTGGGGGTGCTAGAGAACGTTCGACAGGATGAACGGCTGGCCCTAGCTTGTGCGGCTAAAGAGTATCTACGCAGGATATCTATTATATGGTCCAGCCCCCTGTCTGATTGTAACCGTGTGCAGGCAACTAATCATTATGCACTCCTGGTCCTGCGGTACTTAATGTGGACACAGCATTGGCCTCTATCAGAGTTAAGAGATGTGGACAGAGCAGCTCGGAAGATCATAGTTGAGAACGGTGGCAAGCACCCAGCTAGCCTGACTTCTCTGTTATATCTACCGTGGGAGAAAGGGGGTAGAGGCCTGCGATCAGTCGAACACGAGTACAAGATCACTAAAATCAAATCGCTACTGAAATTGTATCAGAACCCGGACCAGACCGTGGAAGCAGTTAGAGAATTTGAAGAACACGCCATGGCATGAGGCCACCAGTCGCTCTTAAAGGAAGCAGCTAAGTACGCTGAAGAACTCAACATCACACTTCAGCTTGATACCCTAAATCCCGTGTGTGTTACAGCAGAAGGAAAGGTGGTAACTGCAGCAAGAGCTGGGAATCTGTTGAAGCAATCTCAAGAGAAGCAGTTCTTGGAGATCGCTAAAGACAAAAAGTGGCAAGGAAAGTTATTCCGTATCAGATGGGAAGATGAGAGCCTAAGCATAACCAGCTGCTTTGCATGGTTAAAAGGTTGGGCTACATGCTCTACATATACCATCGCGGGCAAGTATGAATTGTATGAGCAGTTGTTACCTACGAAGCTCTACACAAAGGAGAGGACGCAAACCTCCTCCGACGGCGACGTTCTATGCAGGTTATGTGGGAAGGTAGCTGAGAGCGTTGCACATGTATTGGCTGGATGTTCCTCCCGGGCACAAACCAAGTACCTATACAGGCATAATGCAGCTTTGAAGATTCTGTTTTTTGAGCTCCTGCGAGAGCATGGGTTAATAGAAGAGGTTCCACCATGGTACTCACCGGTGATGCCAAAACCAGCCTACCAGAACACCACGAGTGAGGCGTTTTGGGATATTCCCTTCTATGCAGAGCACAATGAAGTTAGAGCGAATCGGATCGACGCGCGACTTGTCAGCCACGAGAGGAAAGAAGTCTGCACAATTGAAATGAGCTGCCCATGGATTGAGAGTAGAGCTAAGAAAGATGAGGAAGAGACACTCAAGTATGGGCCCATGATGTGGGAGCTGAAGCAGAGATACAATGGTTACAGGGTTGGACAGTACAACGTAATAATTGAAGTACTGGGTGGATACTCTAAACACCTAGAGAAGTCGGCGAGGAGCTACTAGGAGCGAGAGCACGGAGCATACTTGAGCGAATGCAGAAGTCGGTCGTCTCAAACACTTTGAACATTGCCAGAACATTTAAGGTAAATACTTAGTTGGGGCGCTAAGGACACCAGATTTAAGGTTTTTTTTCCTCTAGAAATCCAGAAACACAAGTTTGCTGATGTTTTTACTTGAATTTTATAGAGTACTAGAGTTTGATATTATTCTTAATAGGCTTTTAGTAGAGATCACCACATTATGATCGCCTCGTTTAGGTAGATAAGAGATAATGAGAGTTTAAAAACTGAATAATTTTCTAAATAGGCTTTTAGTAGATATAATTATATCATCATGTCTTTGCATAGGTTTTACAGAGTAAAGAATTTAATAATATTCTAAATTGGATTTTTAAGTAGAGAGATTCATGTCATTATGTATATTAGGATTGTATTAGGTTTCGTACCGATCGATCTGTAGGTCTGAGTCAACAAAGTCTAGCTGTCTTCCTCTGGATCTTCAGCCTCTCAAGCATAGTATCGCAGAGCTTACGATGGCGAAAGATACTTTAGCTCTTATCCAGGAAATTGCGCTTGAGTAACTTTCTCCCTTCTTATTTGGGATCAGCTCGGCAAGTCTGCTGTGGTACTTAACACACTCATCCGCCATTCCACCTGTGGTCGTGAAAACTATGGGAGTGAACGTTCCCTGTTCGATCTCCATTACTCTTTCCGCATACTGCCTCTTCTTGTCGTTCTCATGCTTCTTGTAGATCTGCTTAGGATTCAAGTCTCTGTAAGAGTCTGCATTAAGGTGATACACCCGAACGTCGAAGAATGCAGATCTCTGTCTCTCCCAAAAACCTCGAGCATGAATATCCAAACGGGCATCGGGGCCTTTTGTTAGCGCCATGATTTTATGTCTCCCCAGTGACCTGAAGGACCGGCTCTACTTCCACATCATTTAAGACCATCCTTAGCATCTCTGCTTCCAAGTCGCGCAGTTCATTGTGGCGCTAGATAATGAAGCCGCCGCGTTGACACATCATTGCGTGATCCAAGCTAAATTGAACACGGCATGCGCAGAGCATGGGCGTGTCCGTTATTTCCCAGTCGTACCGTAACTTGATTGCATCTCTAAATTCCTTCTTATTCAGATTGTAATCTAACTCTTTGAAGGGAATCACGGTCAGCCAATTTGATGATCTCTTCTCTGTAGCAACAGCTCGCTTAGCTTTTGTCGGCAGGGAGTTCTTCACTCGCTCCAGCCTCTCACTTAAACAGCCATCTTTATGTTTTCGTGTGCTCAGTTGTAGTGTTTAAATTTCTGAGGCATCTGGAGGTTGGTGCTCTTGCTCAACAATTTGCCTCACCAGCGGATTAGTAACTTTGATTGAAGCCTCGTTTTCAGAAGATGAGGTCACTACAGGATCTGTAAATCCAAGGCCTCCCATGCGCACACGGTGACCAAGGAGGTCGCGCTCTACTTAAGTGACTGTATGGTTGGTGACAGCTGGTATGAGAAGCTCATTAATTGAGTGCTCAAGTAATTCTGCAATATCCGGTAATGTTCTTAGGAAATATGTCCAACGGTGCCGCAGACCAAAAGTGAAGGCTGCATAGCAGGCTTGAGGCTGTGATATGGCAAAATCTGCGAGTTTGGTAACTTCATTAACCCATTCGTCTACTTTCTAGCCAACATATTCTTCAAGGAACGATCTAGATCCTAGAGCCGCGCATAAATGCTTGTGGCCCTCTATGGTGACGTTAATAGCGGTGTCTCTAAACACCTCCCTGGCAGCCTGTTCTCGTTCCGGTTTGATGATCAACCAACATTTCTTGGCATTAGGGAAGTAACCCAGCGGAGGGCCACTCTCTTATAGTTCATCCCACCATTATAGTTCATCCCACATCTTTCAGGGAACAACTTCCGGTTGCGTCATCAGCAAACCAACACAGTTTGGCTGCACTTGAAACGTGCAGTCGCGTTATAAGTGGTTGAAGACTTATGGCGTATGGGCTCATGGACAGAGGGTCACCCTGTGTGATGCCCTCTGCTGATATTGGTTCCTCACTGCCTCTAATGAAGAGACGCGCAGGTTGTCGACGGGTGTTTTTCAGGTAGGTAGCCAGGGTCGGACACAGCACTCAGATATTATGTGGTGCTGCTGTTGCGGCTGCTAACAACAACAACAACAACAATTTCGATCAAGCACAGCAAAGATAAGACATCCGAGACACCACTGTACAGATTGATTGTGTGGTGACGCCGCTGAAACAGTATGGCATATTGTCAGTGGATGTAGGAAGCCTGTTCATTGAGAATATAGAAAGCGCCAAGACAAGGTGGCTCTAGGGGTACACTGGGAGCTGTAGAAAGTATGGGTTAGGGTGTTGACAAGTAGTACGTGCATCAACCCTTACAAGTTGGAGAGAATAGAGAAGCGAGTATAACTTTCGTTATGACTATCTTTAAGGACAAGCGACTGAAGCGCAATCGTCCAGATATTACTGTAGTACACAAAGATACACAGGAGTGGACACATTTATCGACATGAGGGTTGATTTGAAAAACTACCTGAAACTTGCATAAAACACCGCCTTCTGTCTGAACGCATTTGTACAGCGGCGAAAAGTAGTGCGATAAAAGAGCAGAATGCTAGCTTAGAACAAGAAACCCCAAAAGGATTTCTTTTTTCTGCGCGTCCCATCGTGATTTCAGCCAGTGACATTTTAGTTCCCAGCACCTGTGGAGGCAGCATGCCCAATCGGGTTAGAACACTCTTGTGCTGGGCAGGACTTGAACTCGTGGCCTCCGAATTACAAGTCCTACCCTGGACGCTTGATTTATAGTTTAAATCTTTGGCCACGCTTGTAGAATAGCTACCTGGTTCGCCTCCTACCTATACCAGTTGGAATTCTGACCATGCCATGTTCCATTATTATTTGTTTCATTATCCCTGAAAAGCCCCATCAAGCTCATCTGTAAGACGGCACTGTAAAAGTACTAAGGCCGGGTACAAATACTTACGATTTCTCAACACATTTTGCAGGGGAACTCGGGTATTGGGAAAAAGATCACATTTGATCAGATTATAAAGTTGGTATTGTTTAATCTCATACTTGATTTTTTTAAATAACATACGTATCTACATGTAATAAAATACTGACGAGTACAATCAGGAGATGTTTTTGAAATTTGCAAATAATTTCTCGCGGCGAGGTAAATTATAAGGATTTTGACGAAACGGAAGAAACGTTACTTCCTAGTTCCATGAGTAGTATACATTTGGTTAGGAGAATATCATGGGCGACAAATTACGCTTGTTTCAGTGTCATAAAACTCTAAGAGATGTACTTGCAGGCGAAGAAACTTAAGATTCATCTCTCGATTACAACTGTTAAAAACTCTTAAGATTATATAAAATGATGTATAAAGCCTGTACTCGAAAGCACCAACAATATCATGTAATTCTCTGCTATGGATGTCAGTGGTTAATAGATCCCGACAACATCCTTACAATTAAATGCAAAAAAATAAGGGACCGCACGAATGCAACCCAACGGGGGTTTACATATCGCTATCCCTTCTCCCCAGCAGTGAGGGACTGTCATGTAAAAATGACGGGGATGTTTGTTTAAAATGAATTGTCAAAAGTAAATACCATGCAGATTCAGTTATAAAATGTAATAGGCCATATTTGTGGGCATAAAATCTTTCAAACTTTCTTAACCGTCGAAAATTTCCGCGTTAGACATGACAGATATTTTTCTCTAAAAAAAGATCAGCCTAACCCCTTCTTTTTGCAATCATTATACGTTTCTGGGAAACTGTCCACCTACCCCTCCTAAGCCAACATTTGTAAAGGTGTAGGAGATGTTTAGAGTTTGGTATCTTTGGGAAAAGTAGAACTGTCCGTAAACAAACAAGAGTTATCCATACTATCTACGTGTCCTTAATTATTAGAGCGATTTTCGTTTGACCTCGAAATAAAAACGCGCGAACAAAACAGAAACAACAAACGAACGGAAATAGAGCGATTTCATCGGTTTATCGAACGGATACCAATGCGCGTGGCGTTTGGTTGGTTACGCGAACGCTCGGGTGAAAAAACTTCATGCCCGAGAACTTCCAAGAAATCAACCGATACTTCGCTTTGACGCACACGATTGGCCAATCGAACAATGCTTTCTCCACATTAGGGTTTTCTACGCCGGAAAAACGAAGAGTCCATGTTTTGATCTTTTCATCCAGTGGCTCATAAAACAAATGATGAACACTTATCGAAACCATTTTGTACGAAAATCGCTCTAAAAGAACTAAGCAACTTGACAATCAAATCAATGAGTAGGAGACTAAGGCCCAATTCAAACGTCGAACTTTTCATATACCGAACTTAATCCCTATTTGCTGCACGCAAATGTTGTAAGTTCGATGGTTGATTCATGCGTCAAGCTTAATCAGTCGGGTTCAATTCATTTTCACGATGTACAATGGTGTACAATGCTTATCAATGAAAATTAATTATAGTAATTTATGAATTAGGTTTCGACGTTTGAAACGACGTCGCACCACATTTGAAATTCCCATGTGCATCTATCGAACTAAATTCATGGATCGACCCAAATTAAACATATCGGACTTTGTTGGTTCAAACATTGATCTTTTCATGTACTTAACTGAAGGGATAAGGTTCAGTACATGAAAAGTTACACGTTTAAACTGGGCCTAAAACATCCACTTCCGATCCTTCATCGATTTCTCTCGATGGTAGCCAATGAAAATTCAGCTGGTTACTCAAGGATCAGTTAATACAGTGCCTCTGACAATGAGCGGTACGACTGCTTGACACACACCAACGGTTACGAGATAACATAATCAACTCTCTCTCTCTCTCACGGACACCTCTACAAGGTGGACACATGCTTGAGACGAACACCTAGAGCTGGTATGTAGAGTAATTTTCTTTAACTCTATAGAACGGAAAGCTCTTTAAAACAGGCAACTAGAATTAGTTCCTGCGTTTCTTCTGCCCAGTCGTCTTCAACACCTTGTAAGACAGACAAATCTCTCAAAACGGAAACTCTCTCAGTCCCAAAGGTGCACTTCTTAGAAAGGAAAGGGATGACTGTTTTTTGTATCCACCGACTTGTAGTTTCTTCCATATTGTTAAGACTTTTGATAATTAGTAACAAGTAGCATGAAATCTCTCTAACTTGTATGCAAAACGTTCCATTGCTTTGTTTTACTTTCGACGGCACTGCGTTCTCTGCAGAAATTGCATGAATTCTTTCCACGAAAGATGAATACTGCAAAATGTGAAGCGATGAGTTTTCCTCAGCATGGTAACCTGTTGAGCAGTATCTCAGGTAGAACACCAAAGGACGATCACAAAGATTTAGCAGTGTGCGACTTTAAAAAAAAAAAAAGAAAAAAGGACGGCATCGTCAAAGAATAGGACGACATCACGACAGACATACGAGGTATATGATGTTGATGATGATGGTGATGATAATGACGACTTTGTTGAGATGACGTAACGGCAGTCCTTCTAATGACTGAAGAACCATATAGCCGTTTCCAAGCTTAAGATATTAAGCGATCAAATGAGCAAGAAAAGAGCGAGTCGAGGCCCAAATGGGTTGAAGCGGCATCCCGCCAGTTTCCCACTAGTTTCGAGTTTGTCGAGCTTTTCCGATCGACAGAGGAACTGCTGGCTGTCTAACTGATCGGATTTGACGACAAATTATTACGTACAGAGGACTCGCACCATACTAGATCTCTTTACTGCTGTCCTTCGAGTGATACTTAAAGGATGGTTATGAAAAGTAGAGTCCCCGTATGTGCTTAGCGTGGTTGCACAACAGATACCCGTCTGACCAATGGGGGTGTAGCCGTCCCTTCCTCCAGGAAGTCTCATCATAAACACACCCACAGCCGCCCTATGGCTCTCCATTGGTTGAACAGCGATGGCATGAGATGGTTGCTGGAACAAAACAGGAGAGAACTTAAATGATTTGCTTCACGAGTAGTACTCGCCGTTTGGTACCAGACATGACTAGTACTTTCAGTTCTCTAATACTGCATACATGTAGTTTACTATTTTGTAGCCTGAGAAAACAGCCGAAATTTTGTGACGTCTGAGGAACGAGCGCAAAAATTCCATGCTGATGCCGCATCATTACGCATATGTTACCTAGATGTGGGAAGTGCTTCTGATGAGTGAAAATTCGCTTCAGCCAATCAGATACGCTATCCAGATCTGGGTAGAGATGAGTCGTCAATATGAAATTTCTGTTGTCGTTCCTCAGACACCATTTTTTTTTTTTTTTTTGGGGGGAGAGAGGGGGAAGGGGACCAGTGGTGGAGGTGGAGTCCAAAATGTTGGCTGCTTTGCTCAGGCTAACTATTTTACGATTAGTTTAACATATTACTTTATTTTACAACAGTGTCTCATCTGGCTGCATCAATACGTTTCTCAAATCTATTTTGATCAGTTATACGAAATTTCCTTCTCAAAAGTCCATCACGTTGATTTCCCCCTGTTGCTGAAGGGTAAAATTGAGCGTCACGAAACTGTTTCTCTTAAAAAGACACACATTGCCATAAAGCCGCGGTCTTACACCTGCTAAAGCACATTATTTATTTATTTATTACTTTTTATTTATCTATTTTTTTAGATAACTCATTTCCTTTAATTATCTAATTTCATGATTTTTTTCCCAAAGACCTCAAAGCTTCCCGGAATCCACAACGTCGTCGGATAAGTGAATTTCTGTGAACCACCAAGTGCAACGTCGGCTTAGAGCTTAATCACTCACCAACGGCAACACAACAAGCCGCACGAGTGACCAACATCAATTTTCTCCTCACAACGTCAATACATTATCAAAAGAAAAGGTTAGGAGAGTTAAAAGAATGATCACCTCAGGGAAAAGGCTTTGATCTTTAACCAAATTCTCTCAACTAATTCTTGAAGGAAATGTATGGTGATCAGTTTGGAGAATTTGTAAGTGTATATCGGGGATTAAAGGGTTAACAGTTTTACATTACATAACCAACCTTGCTTAATCTCTCTTGTACGGGATCTGTGACAGCTAAACTAACTTTGGCGAACGGTCGGCTAGCCATCACCTTCATCTCTTCAACACGATGCTGCAAAGAAATGGTTGATTACTTTATATCTCGAAAAATCAGATCTATGGACAGAATTGCTACGGTTTCAGAAAAAAAAATAGAATCGTAAACATCACTTTCCTGTATTGTGTAATTGAAATAAAGCTGTATGTTAGATACGAGAATCGTTTTCAATAAAGCCAATCCATTATACCTGTATTTAAATGCACAGTGAATGCAAAAAGGAGTTCTCAAAAAACCGAAAAGTTGGTTGGAAAGCTTAGGGCTTGATTGCTTACCGTGGAGTAGCTATCCAGTATTCTGTCGTATTTTGAATTTGTATCGCACTTTTGCAAAAAATTAAGGTACTGCTGACTTGAAACAACAGAAACTGCTTTAAACAATGCAATGCCAGAATTAAATGTGGTTACGTCACAACTTGGGTTTCATGTCAATCTTCTCGTGGACTAACCATCCCCCCACACATCAATTTAACTTTTACATTGCCTTCGTTGAAAATACTGTTTGTGTTCTCAGAGATTTTAACTAAAGTTTAAAAGATCTGTGTCAGGGTAAGTTCCACCTATGTTTGATCAAAGCTGAGCTGAAACTATCACTAAAGCTGTAAGTGTACTCAGTCGCCTTTTTCTATTCTTGGAACTCTAAAAAGTTGACTCAATTTTTACAAGTTGCAATCCGTTTCCATTCTGGCCACCGAAGGCCAAACAGATATAGTCATCGTTGAGGTATAGTAGTAGAGTGTTATTCTGAATAAACCATTATTCACAAGTCTTATTTATAGCCTGAGAAAACAGCCCACATTTCACGACGACACCACCGGTATTCCTGAGAAATGACGTCTGAGCAAAGACCGCAGAAATTTCTTACTGATAACGTTCACTACCCAGATCTGGGTAGTGGTCCTGATTGGTCGAAGTAACTTTCTCTCGCGACTTGACCAATCAGGAGCACTAACCAGGTCTGGGTCATCAGCATGGAATTTTTGAAGTCGTTACTCAGACGTCATTTTGCGGGGAAACCAGTGGTGGCGTCGCAGAATGTCGGCTGTTTTCTCAGGCTACCTTAACCCCGATGTGTTTTCAGGCTTTTAAAATAATACTAAGAAAATTTCGACACAGCTCCTTAAATTAAAATTAGGATTATTTTAGGCTTAAACCTGGAAGCCGTCTTTTTCCAGTCAGCTGAGTTGAGTTTTGGCGAGACTTGGAAATCATGAGTCAGTCGGTTCTATTTTCACGAAAAAGAATTACACCTCGGATGAGCTGCCGAGCTGAAATTTCTTATACATGTATGGACATAACGCTCTAACGAAGGACTTCTAACAGCCTATTTTGGGTGTCTACCGTTTCTAGACTTTCTCAAAGACCGTTTCGATTTCTGCTTATGCAATCGACTTGTGGTAAGTCTAACTGTTTCGCATGGTAAAGGATCTACTTCATCTAAGCTGGAACTTGATACTCGCCTATTAAAAAACTAATGCTACGGATACATTGAGTTGACTACTTAGACTTACTCTTGCCATCATGTAGGTTGAATATCGGACCTTGATCTTCCATGCCAAACCCACTACGAACAACAGTGAGAAGAAACACCTACAAAAACGAAAAAAATTACGATACAACCAGTAACAAAGACAGACTGGCACTCCGGGAGACCACTGAACCAAACAACACTCGCAGCAAATACCGACAAAGTATCTGGCACTATGCGCCGGTGAACAAAACGGTGACCAGTTATTACAGCGAATTGCCAAAAACCTCGCAATTCACGTAATCTTTCAAGTCTTTTGCAGGCTTTAAATATTCCCCTTTTAACTTGTTATTTTCCCTAAGTTTCTTGCTTTCTTCTCTTTTTCTTTTTTTTTTGTGCCAAGATAGATAGACTAAAGCATACTTTGTTAATTACAAAAGTGCTTGTATAGGTCAGTTAATTTCTTGCTTTTAACGACTTTGGCAAGGGACTTCTTCTTGAACAATTCCCTGAAAGCCCTGAACTCGCGAGAAGTTTGATTTTAAATTTCAAATGGCGTGATTTGTTTAGTCACCCACAGAAATTAAAAAAAATCAAAAAATCAATTAATCAATTAATTGAAAAATAAATAAATAAAATAAAATAAAATAAAAAACGCAGGAGAGAAACTATTGACAAAATTGCAGAAAAGCCTCAAAAATTACAGCTGCAATACTTACGCAAAAAACGTGATAAAAAAGCTAAGGATAAGAAATTTCTGCTTCTGAGTAAACGAAATCTGTGAAATAAAATTAAAAGAATAACTCATACCATTAAAAGGCCTAATAAGCCGTGTCCTGCCTGTGTGCAGAGTAGCTCTGTTCAGTGTCGTACCTTGCAGTGCAATAGACCCTTCGCATATAGCCATTCACATGGTACACAACCGTCATGCTAAAGAGCAACAGACGGACTGGGAGAAGACAATTTACAAGAAAAAAATTAATTACCATTTTTAAATGATGTAAGCTTTTTGTTTGTCTTGTCCCAATGGATAACTTTCTCTCCAGCATGGCGGTTTTGTACCACGTCAATTACTAGCTGCAAAGGGCCTATTATGAACACTGCCGTAAAATGAGAAGTACACTGCCATGCAACGCACGAGCAAGGTATGGGGGATTTTCCATGTGATACTTTGAGTCCGTTAGCCAAGACGAAACTCTTCCAGCTACGCAAGCGTTCTAGTTTAAAGAAACGTTTCGCCCTGTTGTGAGAAATGGTGTCTAAAGACTCAGTACGTTTATAGGAAAAGAACTTTCAGAATTGCAGCAATGAAAATCGTGAGATTTATATTTTTAGTACGGTCTTAAACGAGCTGAACTATATCTGAGGATAGAAGACTGTGCTGGCCCGGTCAAGGCCCTAAAGAAAAGATCAGGGACCTTAAGATCCAAAGAAGGCAACGGCAACGAAAGCGTAAAAAAAAAAAAGCAACAGGTTTAGTACGCAAAACAACAACGTTGAACATGCATCACACTTTTCCTGTACATTTCTCTGCCGTCATTGCACGACTACAACATGAAAATACCTAATTTCACGGTTTATGGAGGCTGCAATCAGGGACAAAAGTAGTTGACACACTTGTCAAAAACGCACGCTTTCAGTAACAATTTCCTACCTGTTACATACGACTGTGTTTAAATGCCTTAAATCCCCCCACCCCTAAATCAATGTTGTTTTCAGTTGAAGAAAGACTTGATGATATAAAATACAACATTGATTTTGGGGGAAGGGGGTAGGGGGACAGAGGGGAAGGGGATAGGTATGTCCACTATGAAAAAAAGGGGCATTTTACAGAAGTGTGTCAACACTTTTGTCCCTCATTGTCTGAAGGAAAAATTGTGTTACTGTAGACACGTTGAGCATTGTGTGACAATGAAACTGAGTGAAATTAAAGCAATCAGAGCGATATTCATGTTATTGTTGGTTGGAGTGAAATTGACTTAATTACGTCCGAATTATGGGCCTAATACTAATTACGGGATTACGTAACAAAAGGGCACCGATTGTCAGAATTGACGGCGATATGGTTTTCAAGGGAAAAATCGACCCAGAAACACGCGCATATGTACGTTTTTTGGTCAGATTCAAGAGTATGTCTACCAAAAAAATTTTAGATGAAGTGAAAATTTCACGTTCTTCACTTTACCGCATTGTACGAGCGCAAACACTGAATGGTCAGTGTCAAGATCGAGTTGTGAGAAAGAAAGTCACTGGGCGGCCACGGAAATTGAGCCATAGAGAGGAGCGACTGTTGCTGCGCAGCATTCCAAAACTGCGTAAATCCGATGGAAAATTCACGATAAAGCGTTTAATGCAAAAAGCAGGGGTAGACATAGCTCGCGTGTCAACTAAGACCGTCCAACGATTCCTCCATAGAGAAGGTTACCAGTATTTACACGCACGTCAAAAGGGCCTCTTAACCGAAACAGACCTGGTTAAGCGTTTAAAATTTGCACGAAAGATGAAAAGAGATCATTCTACGAACTTCTGGACAGAGAACATCTCTTTCTACTTAGATGGTGTGAGTTTTGTTCATAAGTACAACCCCGCTGACCAAGCGCGGGCACCAAGTGGGCGTATATGGAGAAAACAACAAGAGGGCCTAGCCTTTGGCTGCACAGCCAAAGGTTCCCATTGCGGGACTGGTGGAAGAGTAGCGAGATTTATGATTGCCCTTAGCTATGGTAAAGGGGTAGTTCTATGTGAACAGTATGAAACCTTGAACGGACAATACTTTAAAAGTCTGATCGAACGAGAATTTCCGCGTATGTTCAGAGTCTGCAATAAGGCGAGACCAAAACTTTTTATGCAAGACAATGATCCTAGTCAAAACTCGGCGTTAGCTCGCACCGCTTGGAGGCGATTGGGAGCCAAGCTAGTGCCCCTTCCTCCAAGAAGTGGTGATATTCATTTCATAGAAAATATTTTTCACATTGCAAAGATGGCTTTGGAGAAGGACGCATTATACAGGAACATAACACACGAGACATTTCAGGAGTTTTCTGAGCGCGTAGCTACCACTTTTCATAGTCTAGATACAGCTTTAATTGACAGGACAATTGAAAGTAAGAATCACAGAATAGAATTATTGATTGAAAACAAAGGACAGCGTACAAGGTATTAAAGTCGTACACTAGAACGATAGAGAAATAAAATAACTGTCAATTAGAACAGGCAATACACAGTGTGACATGATAACGCAACGCAAACAGCGTGACATCGGCGCATACCATATCCCTAGAGTGTTTGTTTTCGCACGAAAATCTTTTTTCCTGGGAAAATTCATGAACAAAAATGAAACTAATCTTTTCCAACACGAACAGTTCTCTGAGTTACAACGAAAACAATAACTCAAACTGAAAAAAATCACTGCTTTCTTGGTGATGGAACGGTTAACCACATGTTAGCAATCAGTAAGCAATATAATGTATACAAGTCTTAAATGTCGATGTGTTCTATCGTGGTTAACCGTGCAAACTCCTTATTTACACGACATCCGTACAATCTTTCTCGCCAAGAATAAGCTGTGCGAAGCACTTTCCACATGGGGAAATCTGCTTTTGCTTTTCTTGCGGAATTTGCGCATGGAAGCGAAAAATTCTCCAGCGCACGGCCATCATCTCTGTCTCCTTCTCATCAATAGTGCAATTCTTCACGAAAATAATGGGGTTTTTTCCGGTGGCGAAAATTGGCGTGTCTTTCTCAAAGACAATATCTTTTGCATAATGGGATTTAGGGGCTGGTAAATGAACTAACTGTCCCTCCAACATTAATAGGAAATCATGCCACTGGATAACAGCCGGGGACCATCTGAAATCATTCAAAAAAATACATTCAGCCTGTTCCGCGCCAACCCATGCAAAACTTGTGGACGCTGGGTTTGAAAAGGTGTTAGAAATGACATTAAGAGGGTTGAGCAGAAATGTTTTTGCGCAGTTGGCTGGGCCTACGATCATAAGATTCCTGTATTTTCCTCGTCCTTTCTCTAATAATTCATGCACACAATGTCCAAAATAGTTTATGTCCACTCCGTTACCCTGGAGTACTTCTTTCGCTGAAATTAACCATTGTCCAGAACAATTTTGTACGCATTCTCCCTCTCTTGCTTCCTTTAATAGCTGGATTCTGCTTTTCCTCTGCCTTTCTAGGTTATCTTTAGAATTTTCCAGCTCCCAGGTAGTAGCCAGCACGTCTGCTACAACTTTCGCACCTCTATTTACAATAAACTCTGCGATGTCCGTTTTCCCCTCTACTTTTTGCTCTCTTGCAAGGGCTAGTAGTTCAGTTCTTGACTTAATGTTTTTAGCTAGAATGATTTCCGATAACTCATATGAGGTCATACGTTTCTTCTTACTTTTTACTATCTTCTTGTTCGCTCTTTTTTTCCCCGTCGTTTTTTTCCTTGTGTTTGTTTGGGCATCACTAAGCGCTTCACAGTTGTCCGTTGACAACGCACCTTTCTCTCTCTTTTCCATGGCTGTGGTCCTTTTGGTAGAAGAGGCCTTGGTGGTTCTTGGAGCAGTTGCACTTGTAAGGTCAGGATGTCCGTCACTCTGAATATAATCTCGGTCTTCTTTCGTAACATATTTCCATGCGCTGAAATAGTTTTCGTGCGTGTCGGAGAAATGTACAGAAATACCACACCTCTCTAACAGGTATCGTTTGCTGGGAAGCCACCGCTGGTTCTTGTCCAGCTTCATTGCCATGTGGAAATGTACACCCGATTGTACGTGCTGTTCCAGACAGCAACACCACTGTAAAACTTTCGCAGGCGTGTCCGCGAAGGACTGTACAACAGCCTCCGCAAACGAAGACCTTGTTGGAAAGCGCTCCGTATCAACCATGCTATAGGTTATCAGGTAAATTTGACGTACATTGCGTGCGTTCATTTCACACGTGTTGAACTCATACACAGCTTGGCTTGTCTCTACTTCTGAACTGACATGATCACACTCATCGTTACCTACTTCCTCCATCGTTGTACCTGACTTCTCAGAATACTTATGAAAAGATAGCGTCCCCAGCAACGGCACTGTTTACAACACAACTGATCTCCTACAGCGTATAAAGGACGCGCTCGGTAATATGAGAATGACTGAATGACGTACAATGCGTACATTTTATTGCAGATAAACAACCAAAAAGCACGAAATGTAATAAATTGTTGTTCCAAAACTAAAAATTCATCCCGTACAGTCAATTCATCCCGCCAAAAATAATTTGAGTACAACCGCAAGCCGTAAAACATAGAATCCTTTTTCGGACAATCAGGGACAAAAGTAGTTGACACACTTGTCTAAAACGCACGCTTTCAGTAACAATTTCCTACCTGTTACATACGACTGTGTTTAAATGCCTTAAATCCCCCCACCCCTAGATCAATGTTGTTTTCAGTTGAAGAAAGACTTGATGATATAAAATACAACATTGATTTTGGGGGAAGGGGGTAGGGGGACAGAGGGGAAGGGGATAGGTATGTCCACTATGAAAAAAAGGGGCATTTTACAGAAGTGTGTCAACACTTTTGTCCCTCATTGTGGTAAACAAGCAATTATCTTTCTTAACAAGGATACTGTTCTTTAAAATTCAACTCCAAGAGAGTTTGCCCATAATAATTGACAATTGACACTGTCACTTTATTGCTTACCTGTAGCGTAGTAAACTCTTTGATATTAAAGACAATAACTCTAAAGGCCAATCGGTCATCACCACCAAATCTGAAGACACCGTGAGAGAAGGTCTCATGAAAGTGGCCAATTCTTTCATAGCTAAAGAGTGCTTCTTCGCGAAAGAGTTCTGAAACGAAATATATTAGCTTCTTAATTCATGGACAGTTGTGAGGTCGCTTTTCTCAAAATCTTCACAAGAACTGTTACCACAAACCCTAAAGGTTCGGTAAGATGAATACTTAGAATGCGGTTTATTCCTGTGATGATCTTACTCTCAGAAATAAATTTCCTGTAATGGAGCTTGGAATATTCATTCTTCCAGTAATAAGTGCCAATTTCGCAGTTAGGGCTGACAAAGCAACAACAAAAACAACAACAACAACAACATAAATAGATAAATTAATTAATTAATTAAATATAAAAACCAATACATGAATAAATTAAATACAAACAGCAGCAACAGAACAACAAACAAACAAAAAAATAAATGAATTAATGAATAATTAAAAACAACACCACCAACAACAGAAAAAACAAACAAACAAAAACAAACGAGTTTTATCGGTATACTGCTATCCATGTATGGTGTTTTCATGCCAGTTTTCGTTTGAACATCTCAGTTAGCGATACATTTGCATTTACTATAATTAAAGCTTGATTCTATTTTCGTCTCAGCTCTAGCACCTGATAAATGACACAGTTGCAATTGCTTAAGTCCAGTACCTGAGCTAACGGAGAGATTGAGAAGGGCCGAAGTACCCTCAGTCGTAATTTTAACTTCAACTTCTACATCCTCGTCGTCCTGTTAATAGATTAAAAGTCACAGCCGTTTACCTTGAAGCAACTCTAACCAGTAATAAACGGTTGCTCCTGGGGCATGGACAACCTCTGAACGCACGCAGGTTGAATTTAGAGAAAATTTAAGGGCCTTAATTCCCGAGGGACAAAGCTAACTGTCCTTAATAATGAGGTGTCCGTTAAGGGCGGTTTGGCTGTATTAGGGAAACCAATTTCGTTATCTAGTGGATAGCAATTTATCCAATGGATAGCGCTATCCAGCTTTTGAACAACTGGGGCCATGAAACTAGAGACAGACAAGCCTAAAAAACACCTTGTTTCAAAATAGTGGCAATATTACTTTTCTTTTGTATTTCAGTTTATTAGCCCTTTTTGCCTGGATTGCAACGGCAAAATTCAACAAAAATTTTAAATTGAAACGACACATTTTGGGCCAAAAGAGGAGACAAGTGTGACGTCACACAAATTCGAATTTGTGAAATTATGGGATTAGTTGACATATCCAGAAAGAACAAGATGGAAAATGTCCCCTTGTTAAAAATCAGTCCGTTGATATAAATCCCTCCAAAATTGGCTGATCGTAACCTTTATCATCCAGGCCTAACCATAGTTAGTAGAGGACACAGGTTATCAAAGCCCGCAAACACCAAAGCTGAAAACAACGGTGCTGTAGTTGGAAGCTTCCTGACCTTGCACAATCGTTTGTTTTTTTTTTTATCAAAAATTGTGACTGAATAATAAATTAATGCGACGTTTCTATTGGTCAGTAAGCTCAAAATGATAGGAATGCTATTGAAAGTTGTGCAGAGTCAGGTCCGAAAAAGCTAACACAAACATATAACAAAGAAGTCTAACGGGTTTCATAACCATTCCACTTTAATAACAATGGCCTAAATATATAGAAAGATGTATATAGAGTCTTCTGAGCATCACGGTGCTTATATCTCGTCACCAATTTGCACCAATTGATTTTCTCTTTCCTTTTTTTTTCTTTCTTTCTTTTTTTTTTCCTGTAACAGGGCTGTCACTAAGAGCTTGTGGCCGGGGATTTCCCACCCCCACCCCAACCCCCTACCCGCCTACTATGAGCGTGACTCTGGATTACTTTTACAGGAAACAAAGGAAAAAGGAAACAAACCACAGCTTGGTTGTTCTAAAGCGGGTTAAATCCTAACGTCGGGTTAAATTGGCTTAACCCTTGGTCATATTTTAACCGCAGATTTGTTGTGTTGTCCAAACATCGGATAGCGAAAACCTCGAATTGAATAGGTTAAATAACTAACCTCAGAAGTATAAAAGTATATCTAAAACAAAATGGCTGACTTGTTGTTTTCTGACTTACAACAACAGAGAAGACGCAGAGACAGTTCTGTTTGTTTGTTTTGAAGTTTTCTCTATACTTTCCTCCGACTTCTGACTCTCCTCCATGCCTACAGCGTTGTGTCGCTGTTATTGGGGCCCAATTTTTCCCTTCAGTTTGTCACACTTACATGTCAACTTACTTTGCGAAATGTGCAAATTTTCTTTCACTTCTCGGTTAAAATCGCAATTTATGAGGCGCACAAGTCATGTTTTCTGGCTTGCGTATTTTCCTCCACCGTCGCCATTTCAGGACGTAAACAAACTAAAAGTATTATGGAATGCTAACAGCGAGTTAGTCGCGGTAAAACCCGAGGTTAACTAACCGATCCTCTAACCGCACCTCCAACAACGAAAGTTTGACCCCAGGTTAACAAACCTACGGTTAAGAAATTTAACCTCCGGTTAGGCCTAACCCGAGGTTAGTTTAACCTGTTCAATTCCCGGCCTGATTAATCGCAAGTACCGGGGATGACCAGACACCTTCAGTTTCTCTAATAGCGAAATGAGAAACCATTCAAAGGAGGACAAGCTTACCCGTGCTGGAATGTTTATAAAGGCGATGCTTGTTTTGTTTTTCGAAACATTGAAAGTGAACTGGAAACCACTCTTTAGTCTGTCTGTAAATAAACAAGTTTAAAATGTTATTAAAAGGGAATGTTTAAGGTCATTGACACATGCACACTTCTTCAACAAATTCTCAAACTTACTGTAACAGTGTCCGCCGTTCGTAGCATTACCAACTATATCAGTTTCATCTGAACAGCTGTACGGAAAGAAAGCAAATAGATAATCAAATAACTGAAAAAAGGCACACTTAAAAGACACCTAAGGGCATGTTTACATGGAGGTGGGGATAGGACTGAGCTGGGTAACCCGCTCAGGTGGGGTAATCCGTCTGTCCATATAACCACTCATTTTAATTTGATCACGTTTACATGATACTATAACATTGTATCATGTAAACGCGAGGCCGGGTAACCCTCTCAAATTTTGCAATGCAAACGTTCCAAGGTGTAGTACAGCAAAAACCCGTGAGTAAGTATCTGCATGTTCCCAATTCACCCCCAAAAGGTTTTTTCTTTTTTTTTTTTACCTAAATGGTAATTAGCACAAATTTATTCTATTTGGGTTCTTAACTAGGTCCTTACTTATCTGAAGGGAAAAAATACATTGTAGCTAAGAGTATTTAACGATTATTCCTCGAGCCCGAATGGGCTCTGAGTCAATAGCCGGACGAGAGGAATAATTGTTTTGGTAAAAATTCAACCACCAGACGCCATCGCTGTTTCGTTTTCAAAGCCGGCGCTTCCCGCTACTAGTGGGTTAGAACATATAGCCTAGTAGAGGCTGAACCAATCAGAACGCAGCATTGAAAATAGACCACTAGCTGGATTTCACTCGAGCCAAATATACTAATGTTATCGTCAAAAAGAGAAAGGAGTTACTGAAAATGTTTACCTAATTATTCCTCGAGCCCGAATGGGCTCAGAGTCAATAGCCCATAAGGCCGAAGGCCGAATGTTCTATTGACTCAGAGGCCACGAGGGGGAGAGGAATAATTGTTTTAACAAAATCCAACTAGTTGGTCAAAAACATCGAGACAAAACAACTTTAGCTTGAAAAACGCGATTCAGCCGCCATTGTTTTGGTTTTCAAAGCCGGCGCTAGTGGGCTATAACATATAGCCTAGTAGTAGCTCAACCAGTCAGAACGGAGCATTGATAATAACCACCAGTTGGATTTTACTAACTACTGGTATCCAGCGAATTCCTCATATATTATCTGCACAGCATTATATTGCAGTTAGAGCGATAAGAAATATGTCTTCAAAAAGAATCCTGAATGACGTCTTATCATTCTTTTGCCCAAGTGTACAGAATTTTACTGTACAGCGCCTAGCTGGGGGTCGGATTAGTATTGCATCAATTCGCGCCAACTGCCTTGGGCATTGCATCATTATAAGTGACAACAGAAAGCCACAGCACTGAAAGGTTGTGGCAACACCAGCAAGTGAGAGTAGAAGAGCATTAACCGCCATAACAAGTTGTTTGCCTGCCATTTTTTTCATGTTTCCGTGCTTAGCGACCATTCCAAAAAAGCACCCCGGGATGGCTCGGTTGTAAGATTGCATGTTAACGCTGTTTATTTTTTACCCAACTTAGCGGGTTACCTAACCTACCCGGGGTCCCCACCTCCACGTGAACAGGCCCTTAAAATTTAAATATGCCGTGGAAGGTGAGTCGAAATAAACTGCCTACCTACCCCTCCCCTAATCTAACATTTTCTCCTAAGTAAGTGGGGGTCAACTTTCAGATATGAGAGGGGTGGTTGGCAAATCCAAAAATCCATCTTGGATTTCACCAGCATTTTCAAAGCTATCAGCTGGAGGTACAAAGTAGGCTAAATTAAAAAAAAAAATACGGTAATGCTGCTTATGGTACTGTTTTAGGCGTTGCACGCACACATGCAGTGCGAGAATTCGCAGTTTTGCTTAAGATGGCTTAATCTCACATCGGTACGTGAACTTGTAGTCAAGTCACCGATTGTATCCAAATGACGTCAAAATGTGTTTGCGGGATAAATATTGATAACAAAAACTAAAGTATGACATATTACCTTTCACAGTGGTCGCCCGTCACCCAGTGAGCTAGACATTCACACTTGCCAGTTTCATGATCACAGGTATCTGCGTGACCGTTACATTCACAAGCTAATGAAAACAAAAACAGGTTAGTATCACAAGTGACATTCGTATAAAAGCCACCCTATACCTAGTGATGTATAAGTTATGGGAGAAAAATTGGCTAAAGGTGTACCTTGGTTGAGCTGATAGGGGAAATTTGCCAGCACCACTGAAGGGGAGGAGGGTGGGGAAACTTGCTTGCCCGTTGTGGGGTCTACTTTATTAAGGTTTCAATGTCTTCTGAAAAAAAGTACTAACATGAATTTGGAAATAAAATCGGTAACTTAGAATATACTCTTTGCAAGCTACCACTTCAGGAACGTGAGCATGTCTTCAGTGAATCAAAATAATCTGTATTCAATGCAGAAAGATATTGCGAAAATTAAAGGAATCCTTCATAGCTGGCAGAATCAGAGTAGATAACCTGTGCTTCCCTTTTTTTTTTTTCTCACGGCGTTACACCGTCAACGAAACAAAAGCACTTGTGAAATGAAGCAGTCGCGCGGGATAAATCCGATAAATCTCGCTAGCTACACAAGCTCAGTACATAAAAATTGCGAACAATTGACAAAAGTTCCAGTTTTGGGGTTATTCCTCTACCTAAATTGGAAGAATGCGATGGATTCGTAAACAAGCCACACAGCCGGGCCGCACATAGACAAACTGACTGACGCAAAGACTCTAACACTGAATGTCATTATAATGTACTAGAGGAATAATAAATAATAAATAAATAATGATTTGGAGGTAGCACACCCACAAAAAGGTTCTTCGTCTACCTGATTCCTGGTGGAATTGGAATTTGGAAATGTAGGTTTTTGAGGAGAGGGGAAAACCGAAGTACCCGGAGAAAAATCTCTCAGCGAAAGGGAGAGAACCATTAACAAACTCAACCAACATATAGCGTCGACGCCAGGATTCGAACCCGGGCCACACTGGTGGGAAGCGAGGGCTCTCACCACTGCGCCACCCTTGCTTCCCAAGATACAGCAATTGGGAAAGGCATTACCTCAACATAACGTTTTTGACTGCCAATGCAATAAAACCATAATAAAAAAGATGCTGTCGGACATGTCCTCATACTATATTTGTACCTTTACATGTCCCTCCGTTCTTGGCGTCGCCATAGTGACCGACTGCACAAACCTCACAACGATGCCCTAGAAAAGTGCGCAACAGAAAAGAGAATTAGAGATCAAATAATAAACTCCTTATGCTGATTTTAAACAACAGGGATATATGTATAAAAGCCTGGTAAAATAATTATTCAGTGCTCCGGAAAACCGCTGAAGCCCTTTGGGCAACGTTCGTTCCCACCGAGCATTAGATATTATTTTACCAGGTTTGTAACACGATCGCATGACGGTTTGATAGGTCAAGTTCTCAGTCGATTCTACAGTAAACAGAGCCACTCGTGCGATCAGCTGTAAAATTTTCGCATCACTTGCCATTACAAATAACTCCTCAAAGCCCTGTGGAAAGGCTGAGAATTTGAAATATATGACTGGCTTTTAAAAAAACTCTAAATTCCCACCCACACAATTAAATCAGTGCTGTTTTCAAAGAAATGGAACATTACTTACCAGAAGTATTATTCTTACACTTTTCACAGATGTTTCTGTTAATGCATCTGCTGTGTCCATTACACTGGCAATCTACAAGTAGTGGCACAAAACGACTTAAATATAATAATAATAACTTTATTAATCTCCTCAAAAAGGCTTTTCAGCTTAATTTACAATGTCAAATATCTAAAACTTTTAGTTTTCCAAAAATACCCTTAAAATATGCAGTTTTATTTTAACCACTTTAAATACATCTAAATTAGTGATAGACTGAAACTCGTCTTGGAGACTATTCCACAGCCTTTCGCCTCTGAAGGTAAACGCACCCTGACCTGCAGCCGTCCTACAGAGTGGTATATGTAGGCGGCCCCTATTCCTAGTGTTGCAGTTGTGCACTTCCGATCTGAAGTATGACTTAAGTTTACCCTCCAAAGGGAAACACCTGTTCAATAAACCCACTCCAATTGTTCGTCAAAAATTATTGTGCAGCTGCAAATTGCCCACTTAAGAAAGGAGACTGAATAGAATGGATACGGCAAATTCTCTATTAAGCCTCCCCCCCCCCTCACGCCTCTCTACAGCATTTGCGACCGCTGAACCACCTTTAAATTTTCCCTTATCTTCACTTCTGCATTTTTCGACCATTACTTTCAGGCTTTCCTTGTTTGTTCCACGGCTTAAAACTTCCCTTACATGCAACCTCAGGTTCTTTATGAAACTAAAATCTTGAGTGTGCCAGCTAAATACGACACGCTTTTGTTGTCGATGTTTTAGTTAGGTCTGGGATGATATAATTTTTGGGACGGAAAATTTGCAGTATCAGTGAAATCTTACGAATTCTGCAGTCTATCTAAATCTGACAACTTCGGACTGGATGAAATGTTAGTAAGTCTTATTAAGATAAGTTGCACCATAACAGCAGATATTTTTATCTGTTTTTACATTGCTAAGTTTGGATGAATGTAGGGCTGTTTCTGCCGTCTTTTTCGTGTTGTTTGATAGGTCCTTGCAGAAACTATTTCTTAGCTACTAGTATACCTAAAGGGTAGAAATGCTGCCGTAGGCAAGGAATAGTGAAGAAATGGAAAATTAAGTGTAAAGTTTTTAGTAGAAGGTGATGTGAGGCTAAGAGGGCTTAATCCAAAATCTTTGTCAGTGATGACCTAAACTTAGAAATTATCTTCCTTTTGAGTATCGCGTATAAGGTGAATAACTTAATTATGAGCCAGTTTTAGTATTTTTCTAACGTGCTCGAGTCGCGTCAGAAGTGGCCTGATAATTCTCGATTTTTGATGTGTATATCAATCATTCTCGCTTGCAACCGTGACTGAATGACTGAAACTTATTTTGAAGCTTTGATTTGGCGATATGAGCAAATTTTCTAACTATGGTGTTCAGTCTTTCTGTTCGCACAAAAATCGAGCGTTTTCCACAAAACTTAAATTTCTGAGTTTAAGACTGTTTATTTCATCTGCATGCCAAGTCTAAGTAAATTTGTTCGACTGTGATCTGCGCTACAAGAAAGGTTTGAGAAACGACCATGAAAACACATTAACTTGGCCAACCATGTCACGAATCAAACACCAATTTAAACAATTTTGGAGGGCAGTTATGTTCAATTTTTGATAAATACATGACACATAAATTTCGGGCTCGTAGCTCTAATGCTGCTTGTGTGATTCCCTCTTACAACAGAAGAAAAATTTGCTTGAAAATAGTAAAGGCTGCGGCTATATGGCCGGTAACCGGTCAAGATTTTCAAAACACTAAATGACCGGCAGTCCGATATTTTTTTCAATAATTTTTTTCAAGTCGAAGAATCCCAGCCAGACCAAACTATCATACGTCGATTAAGAATAGACTGTGACAGACTTAATTTATGATCGACAAATGTTGTCAAAGTGTTAGTCTGTTCAATTTCAAAGGAAAAAATATTCACTCGAATATGAGCGGATTCGATCCCGGAGCATAGGGTCTGCATACCACTACTCTAACCACTAGACCACCGTGGTTTCTCTACAAGATGGCGATTTTATTCAAATATTATAGCGTAAACCCCAACCCAAAATAAAAGCCAACTGCTAACCCTTATCACCATTCTCAGGGCTTAACCCTAATCAGTTTGGTTAGTGCTTCAGTTAGTATTTTCAGTGCTTAACCCTAATCACTATAGTCAAAATATCGGACTTATAAAATATTGCATTTTGTGAAAATAGCCTTGAAAGATATTAAACGGCTGCTTGCTCCATGCAGTGATGCTATTTCTTCGTCCATATGCTACGCTATTTTGCTGGTCTTAGCGTGTTCTGTTTTCCGAAAACCAACCTAAATATATAGAGGTTTCGAACTTTTCTTTCATTCTGCCTTGGCATCGACTAGGATAAATTTATCACGAATGCTTTTGATTCTCGGTCGACAAGTGTCGGCCAACTGCAAAAGTATGCAGCACGTGCAAAGATTTTTTGTTTTCTAATTAGACCTGTTGTTTCTTTACTTTAACGAGATTGCAAATTATTCAAATTGCAGTCGAAAAACAGTGTAAGAAGAAAGCACGTGGTAATCCACTGCGCATTCTAAATCTCCCATTCGAGCATAGCCACAATTCCTTACGAGTCTACTGCGCATCCCAAATCTTCCATTTGCACTTAACCAAACTTCCTTGCGAGTCCATTGCGCATCCCAAATCTTTGAGTCGCGCATAACCACAATTCCTTGCGTTTGGTAAGAAAACGTGATTGAATGCCCCTATAATGTAATCTTTTGCCGATTAGAGAGCTGCCTCGTTCGCTCGCTTCAGGCTCGCTCACTGCGGCAGCAACAAGCCTGTTCTTCAGAAGACTGCAGAGCTAACAAATAACAGAACCGACCCACAACTTGTCGATGAGTTGGAAAATTCTAGTAACGCCTCAAAATTTGGTTTAAGGCAACGTCTAAGGGCCTGTTTTCATGGAGGTGGGGGACTCCAGGTAGGTCAGGTAACTCAGTTAGGTGGGGTAACCCGCCTGTCGATATAATCTCTCATTTTAATTTGATCACGTTTACATGACAGGTGTGGTGACCCACCACATGTTACCTCACCTATTTCGGGTCCCCCACCTTCATGAAAACAGGCCGTAAGTATCTAAAAAGGCAGTCGCAATGTAGATCATCTATTTAGTATTAGTGAAAACAATTGCATAATCCACTGGATAGAAATTTATCCAGTGGATAGCGACATCCACCTTTTTCGAATAACTGTGCCCAGACAGTCAGACCAACAAAGTAATATTCCACAAGAACTCCGTGGACATTTAAGCGGGAGTTCGAATTACCTGTAACGTAAAAATGCCATACGTACAGGAGATAAGGGTAATGCAAGAGAAGCTAATCAAGGATTCATCTTTACCTGGACATTCTATGAAGTACCAGCGGTCCGCTGGGCATTGACTAGCGGAAGCATTTGGAGATGTGGTAAAAGGACCGTTATCTCCTCCATCTATACATTGTCCCAAGCCAGTTCCTGAACCATCATCACACCAGCCACACCCAGGTAGGGTGTGGCAATCATCACATGTCTTCAACTCAGAACATCGAACACCTTAACATGAAAATTATTATAGTAATTGATTGGGAGATATTCAACAAAAAAAAAACATTCACGGATAAACAGAGCACAGCTACCCACTGACATCATATATTTTGCGATGTTGCTGGCTCAGAGACTTTTGGCGGGAAATACTTTGTTATGTGACCTCGAAGTAAGCTGAATGATAGCGCAAGCTGTTGGGGAAAAAATCCCAGCTATTCAGCTGTATCACAAGAGGAGTTACTGTAAACGACTAATAAACGCCCAGTAGCCAGCGAAAACATCCGTTTCTCCTAGCTCTTCGCCGCTGGGGGCTATCCAAGCAGGGGCGTTTAATATATACATAGAAGGGGTTTAAAAGAGAGATGCGTATATTCTCGTAACTGTAACAAGCTCAACAAAACCAATACGCTTTAGGCGAATTTTATCAAGAGAGGTGAAAAAAAAAAGAAAAAAAAAAGCGGAATATCAACTTCATAAATTGATACGTCTAGGCTATCTAGAGATCTATATCGCTCTTTCAAATCCCAACATCAATGTAAGAATCCTCGCTCAGGGTTATTGTGTTGCAATCGTTAGTCTATCCTTGCTTAGAACTTGACATTGAACAAGGTGAAATACGCAAAGCCTTGTTAATCAAGCAGGAAACTGAATGAATTGAATATTTTTGTTCCTTTACGCTAATTCCTAGTATTCTAGAGTAACTATCATTGGGGGCGTTTATTTGAGAGGGGCGTCTAATAAAACGTTAACAGCGTAGAGAAGGCGTTTATTTCAAAAGTGGGCGTTTATAAGGTCACTAGCGGTATCCAGATCTCGATCTACATGATTATTTTTGCATCATAATCAGCCTCTTCAAGCGATTCTTTATTCTTGTATTTAAGAAGAAGGAGAATTCAAATGCCACAAAACTCAGAAAAACTTTCCGAGCTCCAGGTGAGAATCGAACTCATGACCCTCCGAGTTCTAGTTCGGACGCTCTTACCACTGAGCTACTGAAACTCTAATGGCGAGCAGGGTCGGAATTTAGATACAAGTACACCAGACTTGTATCACAATTGACACAACTAACCTGAGCACTGACTTTGGACCCAACTAAGACACTGGCCATAAGGAAAGCTAACAGGATAAGCATTAGGAGCCACGCACTGCTTCTGCGATTCACACCACATACAACTAACTTTTGCTACGCAGTCACCACATGTGCTCAAGTTGAAGCAGTCAAGCTCCTTGCATTTACCTACGAAGAGAAAGTGACTCCATTATCAGGGTAGTGTATTACTCGGGCTAAATACACCTGTATGACCCAAGTCAAGCTCTTTAAATCCTGTCAATAAGTCAGAAATAAGAAAAAGCTCATCCCCTGGAAGTGGGTTGTCATGGAAATTTGGGCATGCGGGGTGGGGTGGAGAGGGGGAGGGGGTCCGTTTTTCCTTGCCCATTCACCTATGTCGTCCAGCGCATTACTGTCGGCTGTCCTCATTACGTCCAGAAAATCAATACGACGGATCAACAGCTGTATCGACCCACCCAAAAGTAAATATCCTCCAAAACAAGGGATTAAGTTTCTCGATCGTCCTCAAAAGTTTTACTTCCTCTTGCAGCCAGAAATAACAAAATTTATATATATGACTGAGAAGATACTAACTATCAATAATGAACTTTGATATCCTTTTCGCGTTCTGCCCCAGAAAATTATGACATTTCAAAGTCCTAAAATGCGATTTTCAGCGTTCTGGGGACTACTGTAAATTTGACGACAAAAGGGCGTGTTTTTCATTCAAGAAAATGTAACTTTCAATTTATCAGTCTCACAATCAATTCCTACAAGATATCATCAAGTGATGAAAACTAGACAAATTCCGCGTAACCCTATAGAGAAATTTGTGAGACAATGACTGAAATATAACGTTCACATGACTAACATAACGTGAAACCGGTGGGCCTTTATGAAAACACATCGTAATTACATTTTCATTCAGATTTTGATATATTTTTTGTTTACAACGTTATTCAAACTAGTTGCTTCTTCTTTCTAGAAAAAAAAAAAAAAGTAGCCGACCTCTATGAGCAAAGTGGGCGACGCATTTCGTCGGCCATCGGTGCTTATTGAAACCCCTGCAAATGTGTAGAGTGCATACAAAGGTGATGGTCCGATTCCCGGGTAAGCCTTATTTATTTTTTTAGTTGCTTTTTCAGCCGAATTGGTTGTTTATTCAACTGCGAGGGTCACATCATCTTTCATATATTTATCCGCAGTTCACATATATAATCTGATTTTACATAATCTGATTTTATACATTCCAAGTCAAAATAAATTAATAGAAGTAACAACAAAATCATTATCAAGTACCTTGACAGGTTTTCACTTTCCCCTTTGGACATTTACCAGGAGAATCGATCCTTCCCTACAAAACGTAAAATTATTACAAGTTACTTAAAATAATTGTTTTTCTTCTATTTGGACAGAATCCACATAAGAAATGGCTCAACCCTTCTTTCTGGAGTGTAAAAACGACGACGGCAAGCAAAGCAATACGTCTAATAAGCAAAGCAACAACTTTGTACGTGCAACACACTTTTTTGCATTTTCCTCGCCGTAATTTCACGTTTTATGGAGGACGTAAACAAGCCACAACAATCTTTTCTTTGTCTTTCTTAACTTGACACCGGTCCCCAAGAAATCAACTACAGGGGAATTCACCTACCTTTGACATTTTCAAAAAACAGTAATAAACGCGACAAAGTTTGAAAAAAACGCGAATTGACGCTTTCGCGGCCGTCGCCGTCGTCGATGCTAAAGCTCCCTATTTACTCGACGCGTCAGGCGTTGCCATTCTTCGTTTCGTAAACGGGTGTTGCCATTTTCAACCGCCGATATGCAAGGAGAGGGAGGCGGGGGGGGGAGGGGGGTGGCGCTTATTCAAGAGCTACACACTGTCGATTCAATACGGTACTGCGTGTAGTTAGTTACTCGATTAACACAGAAGTTACCAAAATTTTAATTACGGTTATTACCTTACTACCAGGGCAATCTCCCTTCACACAAATACCATCGCACCATGAACAGCCTTGCATAGCGGACGTACACCGCTTGCAACTCTGCGTGAGTTCTCTACATTTGTCCTCAGCTGAATCACAACAAAATCCATAAAAAAAAAGAGACAAGAAAAGAAAGAAACTAAATAAATAAATAATAAAAAAACAAAAAGAAAAGAAAAGCATTTTTAGTAATGACACCAAGTTTATCTAGGCTATTGCTACTTTTTACCAAACTAAACAAGTCAAAGAAAGGTAACAGAACGAACCGCAACAATCTTCATATCAAATTAATCTTGACAGTCTTCAGAACCCACTAGTTTTAGCCACACTACCGTCACCATTGCCTGTTGTTAAAGCTCCCATATTTCTGTTTCGAGTTAACAAAAACTATAAGCTTGTCCTTTCAAGTAAGCCTTGGTTCTTCATGTAGGACTACAGTAAGTAAACGCTCAGGGATAAGAAAGGGTTTAATTATCATACACTCCACAGAGTTAATATCACTAGACAGTAACAATCCTTCTCACACACCACTGGTAGCAAAGGCCAAGCCAACCACCACAGCCTGACCTTTATTCAAAATTATTAAAAAATGCACACACAACATAACCCTCGAAAGAGGGGACACTAACAAAATTACAAAGTTGCACATTACATTTAAACAGCCTACAAAACTGAAATCCTAGGGTGGGTGGGTAGGAAGGTCAGTAATGGCAGATGCAACAAGAGCAACTGCTCGCTTTTTGGTCACACGACCAATACCAAGGCCTCCACTGGCCCCAGTGGTGTCGGAGGAAAACATTTTCCACTAATTTCGTTATACTCAGCCAATGGAAAATTACCCTTTCTACCTGTGATTTGAGGTCTTATACATCGTTCTGGTCCTAGGCATGTTGAGCTGAAGTCACTCCACACACAATCAGATGAATTGAAACTCATCTGGCAAGTGGACTTGTCTTTTATCAAACCGCATGGACCTGTTGAATACAATGATCATTTAAACGTCTAGTTTTTTTGTAACTTTTACGTTACTTCTAGAATTTTTCATGTTTTATGATGCAAATATTGTTCCTTGTAATTGTCAAGAGACGTTTTGAAGAAAAAAAAACCGGAGATAACAGGAGCATTATTTTTTATTCGAAATTTAACGAACCACTTTGTACTTTATGTGCGAAAATGGCTGGCTAAACATATGAAAAAATACATGACCAGTAAAGTAGTGTCTTGCTACAAACAGAAAACAAAACTCTTATAATTTACTACTAAGCGTCGAGAGCACCTTACTTTTGAAACTCGCTTATAAAATTATACAGAATGGAGGTCAGATGGACAAACTAAATGTTTTTATGATGATCAATCACTTTTGTACAAAACTGTCACAATAGCATGGATAGCAGTCGTTTCCAATCCTTACAGTCAAGCGGCAGAAGCGCTCAAGATGCAGGAGGGCATGAGGTAAAGCGTATCTTCGGTACTTCTCCCAAAGGTTAATGGTCAGGAAACAAGCACAGAGAAAAATGACGCAAGCAAGGCTGACCTGCACCTAAGCCACCAAACTGACCGCTGATCCGCAACAAGAGACGGCGCTCTTTGTTATTAACTGCCTTAAATTTCATTATTATTAATTCAAAATATTTCCCCGATTACACCCTCCTCGATCTCCATAATTCTTCATAAGAAACTCAACCTCATTCATTAATTGTTAATTTAACTTCATAACCATTGTAAATATTTATATTAATACTATTTATTACTGACTCACCAGGAGTGAAAGATAGCACGTCATTGAGAAGAACTCCTTGAAATCCTCCAAAAACATACATTGATCTGTTTAGAAAATAAAAGAAGCAACCATGAAAGCTATGAAAGAGAAAAGAAAAAAAAATACACCTCAGAAAACAACTTTTTCTCTTTGCCGTGCTAGGATAGTCCAGGATGTTTAAAAAGGGTATATTTGTTTACAGCTAATTCAAGAAGGGTTGTCGGAAAAAATGTGCACTCAACAATCCCGAAAGGTAATATGGGATATGATCAATACACTGTTCCTGACACTGAAGCTGTCGAACCTACTTTTGTTGCTTTCCTTTAACACTCGCAAACATAATGTTATTGGTGTTATTGGTCGTCTGTCAGTTAAGCCGCGGTGTTATTGGCTATGAAGACTTGTAATCAGTAATTGGTGCGTTTCGATCCGTCTATTGTCACAGTTGAACAGTCGTCTATTGTTAGTCAAATTAATTGTCAGTTCTCCAGTCGTTCTCTCGTACTTAGATTTGCTTGATCTCGTCAATAAGTCGTTTGTACGGCTCTGGTAACTCTTGGCTACGATTCAGTGGCGTTTGTTCTAAGTTAGTACACCATCGTGGTTCTCCTAATGTTGTCACCTCTATGAAACGGCCATCATGCACTTGATACACTTAGTCTGGTTTTATCTTAAAGATATGCTGAAGGAAAGTACAGTTCAAGATAGAAGAACTGTGGACCAGTAATGCCGCTCCCATCGTGTGTTTGTTTCAAAAATTAATATCACAAGCCTCTATCCATTATGTGGCCACTAGCCTGAACCCCGAGGGTGGCCAATGGAGGCTAACTGTTGTCCACATATTTGAAAGCAGGATTTAAGTAATTTACCTATTCACCAGCATGGAAGAGTGGCCATAACGTCCAGAGGATTTTAAATTCCCTGAATATGGAACTATTTTCCACTCATCGCAAGCTAATTGAAAAAAAAATTGTTTAAATCATCACTGTCTGCATGTACTACTGACTGTAAGTACCAAATTTGATAAATGGGTGTGGTTCACAGAAACATTAAAAGAAAAAGAAATTGCCAACACAACAACAGCAACAATAAAAGACGTGTCAAAATAAAACACTGAATTGAATTAAATTATCCCGTAAAGTTGCTATCTAGGAATCTGGGGAAGGGGGGCGGGGGGGAATTTGTCATCATGTCATAATGTTACAGTGGAACCTTGACATAACGAAGTGCCAAGGGACTGACAAAATTTGTTTGTTATATCGAGGTACTTTTTCATATATTTTATATTTATAAACAAAGTCGCTCGTTATGCCGTTACATAGGGGTTCGTTATTTGGAGGTTCCACTGTGTATTTTAAAACTCATTATAATTAATTGGCTGGTAATTTGATATTATAACCAGCACTTGGATGAGTTCCAGCCATCTCAAATTCAATTGTTATTTTAAAAAAACAAAAAAAAAAAACAATTACTACAATGACTAGTGTAATATTATAGAAAGGATCTGAGCCAAAACATTCCCTAGTCTAGGGAGATGGGAGATGTTTATTCTTTATATTTACTTATTCATTAAGTCAATCATTCATTCATTCCTCATGGGGGAAGGGGGCCTGTTGTTGCTGATTGTAAGAGAGGTGTTTTGCATAAACGGACATAATTTCAGGGAAATGGTACACAAACCAAAGAAAAAATGTTTTGTAAATGCTTTTGTACTGAAGGACAAACCAGATTGCATAATTCTGTAACTTTATAGCACTTAACAGAATTACAAGATTATCAAATGGCATTATCACATGGAGCCCTCAATTATTAATGAAATAATTGCGGACGACAAAAAGAGCCCGCAATCCTAATCTTCAGGTTGTTATTGTTATTCGCATGTATGTAACCATCGTTCATTCAACCTTGCACTAAGAATGAATGGAATGTACAGGACCTTCTATCAGTGTAATCTGTTCATTATTATTTAAAGTAGATGTACCTATGTCATAAGCGACAAAATCTGTAGCAAAGCATGGTTGGTTGGACTGAGCCCCCAATGTACCATTATGTGAATTACCACCAAACACTAACATCACATCACCCAAAAACACTGCTGAGTGATGAAACCTGGGAACATTGCTGGCCTTGAGAGCTTTCCTGAAAAGCAACAAGTTAAACAGATATCAATCTGGCAATCATTGGCATCACTTACATAACACGCTTATATCCAAAACCTTTAGTCTTGCACGGTTTTCATAAAAACAGCTTGTGTGACCACCTGCCATGTCTCCAGTTTTTTTCTAGCGATGTACTATAATGCAGTGATTTTGTTACAAAAATGGTTATGGTGAGTCCTGGGACTCATCCTGTGAAAAATCATGAGTCCCAGTCCAGAGACACTGAGTCCAGTTCAAAAAACAATGAGTCCCATGGTCTTTTGTAACCATGCAATTAATCTGAAGACAGACTCCAAAACTCCATACTACTAGTTTGCTGAAATAGAAATAATTATACTCCTTCTGTAAAGCACTTTTAACCAAGATTAAAAGAAATAGGCATGGTTTAACAACAGCCACAAAAACAGGCACAGAGATCACACAAACAGGATGTTACAAAAAAAAAACCTCTTCAGAGCGATCAATTGATCCTTACATCCTACGCATGCCACCAATTATTCTGCGTCTTTGGGGATTTTTATTCGTCAAGGATGCAGGATGCAGAGGTAACATAATCACTGAGCATGTAGCTGTAACCTCTTATAAGCTGCTACATGTACCTCCTATTAGCAAGGACATGTTAGGGTAAAATTCTGACAAACAACATGGCCTTTAAACAGCAACAAAAGACTACGAAATGGCAACAAACAACATACTAAAGATGGGTTATTAATACCAACAGGGACTCGGGCTATTCTTCAAAATGCGAAACAAACGTGTTTAAAATTCACACTAGGGACATACATACCCCACCCCTCGTGTAATATTGTGTGAAAGCAGGTCGTTTTCATGGCCAATTATTTCTACACAGGCTTAGTTATTGGAATGAGCTGCATCATTGTTGTGTTTGGACACAGAAGACTTGAGATCACAGGCCTGTGCTGATTTCCAGTGTTAAGGATTAAACTAAGTAGTCGTGGGTTTCAATAACAATAAATTGAAGTAACCAGCAGGTTTGAATGGAGTAACTGACCGTAGCCGTTAGTCCCCCTCTTCTAGGGAGGTCTGGGGGCATGCTCCAACAGACTATTTTGGAATTTCAAAGCCCTAAAATGCAATTTCCAATTTTCTGGGGACTAAAAAATTAATTATGGAAACAGAAGAGTGTGTTCTTCATTCCTGAAATATACAGTAAACACCCGCATATAAAAACACACAATTTCGGAGGTCAGGCTGATTGAGTTCTTATTTGATCGGGTGCTTAATGACAAAATATCAGCCTCAAAATGTTCTTAAAATTTAGTACAAATAGTATCCAAAACATGTTGCCAGAAGGTGTATTTAGCATATTTAGGAAAATAAAATGAATAATAATTCTCTAATTGATTATATCAACAAATGAAGTTATCTGACAGCAAACATAAACTTACATGTTTTGTAATATTATGACACTTTTTCCATTTTATGAGAACATGACTGTTACAATTTTCAGGCTGATCTTGTTCTTATTCAAATGGGGCTTTATTAGCCAAATTTCAGCCTCGTGTTCTTAATCCATTTTGTTTTTATATGCAGGTGTTTACTGTACATGCAGCTTTCATTCAGGTTTCATAGCAACCCAATAAATTCTTACAAGCAGTGAACAATGTCAATATTCAAATTAAGAACATTTGCACATAAAAAAAATTCTGCTTACACCTATAAACAAATGTGAGAAAAATTAACTGAAAAACAGCGTTTGTGTAACTAAAGCCAGGGCTTCTGATATTTCGCGTGGTCGCGGACCCGCGAAATTCAGGTATTTCCGCGAAATCCTGCGAAATTCCACCAAAAACGCGAAATAACGTGAAATCCGCCAGAAATATTTCCCAATACATGTCGGCAAAACATATTTAATACTTATCTTGGCTATTAGACCTGTTTTTTTTACCCCAAAAGTCCAAATTTTTCTTGAAACTTCGTTGCTGCAACGAGTAAACAACGTCCCAAAACTACCAGGCGTTTTTAGATGAACGTTGCGAAAAACTGGGCACTAACAATAATGTTAATAGCTTTAGCATTCGCTCATTTCTCAGGCGAACTGTTGTTGAAAGAGCACAAAACGTTAAACAATGCTGGTCATATCGACGGAAAATTTGCCAAAAAAAATCCAGCAAACTCGGCTGTTGTTTACTGATTGTTTCTTGGCGAAGTTTCCCCCCGAAATTTTCCGTGAAATTGGCCAATTTTTCAAAGAATTTGCCCCTGAAAATCCTTCGAAATTTGACTTTTTTTCGCTAATCTGGCAAAATCGGCTGATTTTTCTGCGAATTTTGACTTTTCTCTGGCGAAGATCCCGCAAAATTGGCCGATTTTTCCGAGAATTATGACTTTTTTCCCGCGAAATTTTGCTTTTTTTTCCGCAAAATATCAGAAGCCCTGTAAAGCACGTCACATACATGTAAAACCAGTGGTCCTTGAAAACACATTATAAATTAAGCTTACGTTTTCATTTAGATTTTGTGATGATATTTTTTTGTTTATGACATTATTACAACTAGTTGAGCACTCCTTTTTCAGGGACAAAAGTAGCCAACTGCTCTGAGCAAAGTGGCTGATGATTGTGTTTTGTAGGTGGTGGGTGCTTATTGAAACCACTGAGTAGTTACCATATTACTTGTCAATGTACCTACCATTTTCTTGTTACAGGATTATAAGATGTTAAATCCTTTGCAAGTTCACTTGATTCATACACTCCACCATGTACATAGAGCAAATTGTGTATAGGATGGTAAGCAGTGCTGTGTCCGTACAATGGCCTGATAATGTCTGTGGGAACACGGTGCACACTCCATCTGCCTGTATCTAAACACATTAGAAAGACAGTATCATCAGCACTGAATTCATTAAAAGGTGACACAACATACTATTATGATACTAGACCACAATAAGAAATTGAACCTGAAGTCTGAGTTGTAAACAATCTCCCCAAAAATTCTTTGATTTGCAATTTATGTGAATTGCAACTATTTGTTCTTCCCTTCTTTTCTTTAAAAAAAATGTTTTTTTTTCTTTTGAGTCTGTAGATAACATTCTGAAAAAAATCAATAAGCAAAGGCAAAATGATAACTGAAGCCAATGTACAGTGTATGAATCATATGAACAGATAGAGAACAGGGTTCTTTAAAAGCCCGAGCAACTAGCAAAAATCACTGTCTAGACTTCACAGACATGCCAGTTTCTCTTATTATTATTATTATTATTATTATTATTGTCATTATTATTATTATTATTATTATTATTTAATTAATTCTAATAATGAACATATTCTATTGATAACAATGCTAACTATTAAAATCATACTTTCAATTAAAAAAACTATTCCGTCAAAACACTATTTACAATTCCTTTCGTTTAAAAAAGCACAGTTTAGTTTTTATTAGAAAAAATTCATTTAATTGGAAGCAGGGCAATTCCCCATGCCTATCCCTGCATGTGAGTACCTTTTGGTCAAATCTATTGCTGCCATTTAAAATTTTTTCTCCATCTTCTTAAAATTTCGTGAGGAACCCAATAACAGAATAGATTTACCCAAGTTATATTCTTGCACTTTATCTGTGTAGCCACGCAGTGGTCCATAACCAAACAAAACAATCATTTTAGAATTGACCAGAGTTGCCGTATGTCCAGCCACAGCAAAGGGTGAGTCCCCTAGACTCGGTAGCAACATCCAACATAATGTTTGAGTGTCAAATAACCAGAGCTCATTGGTGGCCTGTTGATTGATTCTACCACCAAACACATACAAAGATGTCTGCAAAAAGTATTAAGACGAAAAAATGTCATTATTTCAGAAGATAATTAAATTAGATACAAATTACATATAATTTGCACCACGAGGGGTAAATTATGAAAATGCTGTCATCTTAATGAATCAGATTTTAACTTTAAGACAAACTATAAGATATGCAAATCTGGTGTTTTCTTCCTTCCATTCCTATAGTGACTAACATCAATTTTCTCTGAACAATATAAATATGTGATCGAGAAAAAAAAAAGGTATGAGAGTTATTTAAACCAAAATGAATAAACGATGGAAAACTTCTTTGTCTGATGAATTCTCAAAACTCCTTATTTTTTTTTAAGGAAAAGTATGTACATCAAACTAGAGAAATATTTTGGACATTGGGGTCTAAACGTCAAGTTCCACAAAAACTATTTTGAAGGCAATATCATCATCATCATTACTACATTATATAATTTTACATGACTGTAGAAGGGAGTTGTGCATACATTGTAAGCAATCATGGTGTGAGCATAACGCCTTGACGGAGCTTCTGAGCAGTTAACAGAAGTAAATACAACCTCCCAACTATCACTTGGAATGTGATACCTAAAGGAAACATGAACAAAGGAATGTGTTTAAAGCATGTTGACACTCATGTCAGTGTAAAGTACTTCCAGTTGGGTATTAGAATGGTGGTTTGAAACTTAATGCAAACCTTGGCAAAATTCAACTAGCAAGCTTTGGAATGTTGGCCTTTCGAAGATGGAGTCTGGAATTTTGCATATTCTCGGATTCTTTGTGAATGACAAAAACAAAAAACAAAAAACAAACAAACAAATCAACTACAATTGTAGAAAACACAGCATGTGATCTACCTGATTAGGTCATCAAATGGCGCAGTATTAAACGAATAGCCTCCAAAGACCCACATGTATTCACCTAGCAATGCAGAGGCATGAGATGATCGGCCCTGTATAACATCTGACGCAAATAAACAGAAAAAAAAACAGTAAATATTATACATTTTAAAAACAACAACTTTAACTGTAATTCACACAACATTAATATTTTCCTTTTTGTCATTGGCTTTAATCAGACAGCAATATTATTCTTTGACTATTATTCAAAAAAGGACAAGGGGTACAGTGGTAGTTTGTAAGCCACCCCCTCCCCACAAAAGAAGAAAAAAAATAAAACAAAATAAACCAGGGAAAAGGGACATCCACGTCACAGTGTCGTTAATCATGACGTGGATTCCCAGATTGATTGGCTGTTAAGTTAATGCCATCACATAAGTAACTTTTGGTATTGTGACTGGTGAATGAATCTCAGAATTACCTGGGGAAACCTCAGTGTTTGCTTTATATTAACAAAAAATTTACACAAGACACCTCTCTCAAGGATTTTTCTTTTTCTTTTTTTTTTTTTTTAGGGGAGAGGGTTGGTTTTACACAGGCTAGTGTGGTGGCCCACCTGTCTAGTTTGGCACTGCAGAGCAGACGAAAATGAGGGAAGATATCGTTCATTATGTAAAGGTGAAAATAAAACTACTGCCTCCAAAACAAAGCGAGGTAAGACAAAAACAACATTCAGCGGATGACAACAGCTATAAAGAACATCTACTGAAATAATATATTCCTTGAATCATATCCTGAAACTGCTGATGTCTTTGGTATATTGTACTTACTTTGGCCTTTTGAAGAATGCTGGACCCAGAGAGCTCTGTCACCACTAATATTACATGAGGAACCTGTCAGCAAAACAGTTGGCAACTTTCTTAAACAAAATTAAAAATCTGAAGTGGAAACTAAAATTACACAGTGAGTTTTTTTTTTCTTTCTTTCATTTTCTGGTGTAAAAATATTAGTAACAGTGTGTGTTTCTTTGGGATGATCCAAATAAAATTATGTGATCCAAAATAACTAGGCCATGGTACACTGCATCAAAGGAATCCCTGTCCAGAGTGGTTTCATCGCTTCCTCTATATGCAGCATGAACTGAGTGATCAATTGGATCACTGATCTGATCTTCCCAAAGAAATGCAACTATGACAATGATGTTTATATTCTCTGATGACCCTACAGCAGTTCTCAGCATGAATGCAAGGCTAATGTACATGTAAGGAACAGTTTTGTACTATGCAGTAACTAAGAGGGTACAACAGAAGTTTAAGGAGTTGCATTATAATGGCACATACACTGTAGGGCCCAGTTCAAATTAATATTGAACTTTTCATGTGCTGAAACTGATCTCTTCAATAAAGTATACACAAAAAGATCGACGTTTGAATCAATAAAGTCAGTCATGTCTAGTTATTTACATGTTTGTGTTGACCCATACTTAAGTTTGAGTACCCATATGGGAATTTTGACTCAAGAGCGACTTTGTTCTAAATGTCAAACTTCTAATGCATTAACATACTGGATTACATGTACAACTATGAATTTAATTTGACTGGTCAACATTGCAGATCACTGTAAATCACAGGAATGAATTGAATCTGACTAATAACATCCGACATTAGAATCAACGGTCGAACTGTATATCATTACATGAAAAGTTTGAACTGGGTCTTAAACACAGCATCTTACCATAAACTCCAGGGTCACAGACACACAGCCCAGTAGTATTGTCACAGTATCCGTGAATGCACTCCTCAATACAGGTCTGCATGTTACAGGTGGGACCAGCCCATCCTTTATCACAAATGCAATTCTGATCTTTATCACAATGGCCATGGAAACTGCATTTTGTAGAACAATCTCTGGATACACTACAAAAAAAGGTGCAAACAAACATAAAGAATTACTGCCAACAAAAAAAAAAATGGAAGAGGCTGAGTGGCTAAGCATTCTAAGTGCTGGGCTTGCAACAGAAGTCCATATCCTACACAGAATCCGAGCTGGGTTTGTTTCTCATTAGCCTTAACTCAAATCCTTAGAGGAGTACATCTGACTACAATTTTACATGTGCTTTATTATTACATTGTATATTTAAATTTATTTTATTATTATTGTTATTATTATCATTATTATCATTATTATTATTATTATTATTCACTTTATTTTACTTTGTAAAATCTGTCACACAAAGAGGTCATGGAAGTTCTCCAGACTGTTCTCAAGACAACTACTTATTAGTCGACAGAATTAATTGATTAAAAAAGAAAATCCCTTTGGTGATCAGTGAAAAAATTCTCACGACCTCTTAAAGATGTGTGGATGTTACAGGTCAAAATTATATTCAAGTTCACATTTTTTAACCTAGGTTGAATCTCAATTGTCTCCTAGCCATGATTATTCATGCATTAGGGCTAGGGAGACAAAGGAAAGTGAGCACCGACCAAGGTTTAAAATTTTCAACCTGGATCTAATTTTGACCTGTAACATGGATATTGTTAGGAGGAAACAGATAGAAGTCACTTTTAGAACTTAAAGGGTAACCCTGCAGGATAGAATTTACATTTACATGTTAACCTGCACATCTACTTTTTGCACTATCAAAAAAAACTTACCTGTATTTAATTCTAAACCCATTCTCAAAATAGTGTCTATCACTGTAAAAGTACAGAAAAGCAGCACCAGAGTTGGCTTGTAACTTGAGAACTTGACCATCAATATATCTTGGTTTACTATCGTCTTTTATAAGTCCACTAGGAGGAAACAAAGGATCATATATCACAACAATAATGCTCACTAAAGTGGAGACTGATACTTAACAGAACCAAGAAATGGCAAGGTAAATATCCACTACTTTCACTGACAATTATTGGGATGAATAATATCACTGTTTAAACGGTATAAAATGTTGCAGGTCAAATTTGGTTTCAGAAATTTTTTTTTACCGTGACAGTTTAATTCTCTATTACATTTGTGCCCTGGGACTAGGAGTATACCATAGTACTCCCCACTACATGTAGTATTTATCACTGGTAGACATTGTATTTTGACATTTCATCCAAGAATTTGACATTGGAAAGTTAAACAAACTTACAGTACCATTAAGACTGTTATTTAAACCAAATGTTGGTCCCATTTTGTGATCTTGGGTAAAACGTTTTCTTCAACAACAGTATTTCTGCACTGTTAAGCCTTCAGGAATGTTCCTCATGAAACATGAATTTTGAGTAACTATTTACCTTGTTTCACGAGGACTTAGGATCTGTCCCTACCTTATTACTCCAATCAGAGGACTTTTAATCGATTTGCCATCATAGATATACAAATGATCCCAGTTACATTCAGTTGCAAACTCTTCAAAATCTAAATGAATAGTGCTGTTTGGACTGTGAGACAAGCAACAGCCAGAGTTAATAGTCAAAATTTCACAAAAATCACATGCACATGACATTTCTAAGTAAACACACCCTGTAAAAATGTACAATACTTATACCATAGTTATCATAGCGAATCTCTTGCCCTCGAAGCGTGTGCAGCAGAGCACCATACCTAAGAAAATGTGGTAATCTACCCATCCGACAAATTTTGGTAATCAAGTGTCTGTACATCCGACTGACTGTCTGTCTGCACCACAGGGATACCAATGCAAAATAACTCAATCAACAGGTATGGAAACCCAAATGCAACCCGAAGTCATTTTGGTAGGTAATCACATAGCCAGCCGCGTCTTGTAAAGCAGAGACTACTAAAGAGTCAATAAAGACGAAAATGGAAAACCGAAATTGTTTCTGTATCCATGTTGTCTAAAGTATTAAGCTTAGATTAATCTAACAAAATAATTTGTAACACAGAGCAAGAGAAAAAGACAGAGAAAAAGAGAGATTAGGCATTAGGCAAGCTCAATGAGAAAAAGAGTGACAGAGACCTAGAGCAAGAGATAAACAACAAAGGAGACATTTTTTGTTGGAAGAACAAGCAGCAGTGAGAAAATGAGAAATGCTAGTGGCCACCAATGCAAGGTGAAAATGAGTGGTAGTGAAAAAAAAGTGAACGAGAATGCATGACATTTCCTCCATAAAACGTGTAACTAAGAAGTTTCTGGAAGTTTCATGTTGTAGTTGCGCAAAACAATGGCAAAGAAATGTACAAAAAAGTGTGCTGCACGTGCACAGTTGCTTTTTTGCTAATTACACCAACATGTATTGTTGTTTTTTCACCGTTCTCTGGCATCGCCTTCGCTGCTTAGCATTATACAATTTGATTTTTGTTTTATCATCAAGAGCTTCGCTTTTAACCCTGGCTAAATCGATATATTATTAGTTTGCATAATTACTCCAACAATAACACTTCAGCAACAAGGTTACTATAATAAGCCAGTTAAAATCATAATGTCACAACAGATTTACCTTCAATTAAAAAAACTAGTGTCTACTGAGACAGATATTCTTACCTCTTAGATTCTATAAGCCAAGAACATTTTGAAGAAGCAGAATACATTCCATCTCCATCAGTTATTATCCCACTGTCTGCTGATAATCTAACATGAAAAGCATCAACAAATTCACATTGTTTCAGTTTTCGCAAAGGTGACTTTATGTCATAATTCAAGAAAAAGTATTACATTTTAATTAAACACTGGAAAATAAGGGTGTGATCGATTAGGAAATCTGGATTTAGATTTGCAAATCCGGATGTCAGATTTGCAATCAAACACGAAATCGGAAAAACGATTTCAAAGCTGAGATCATGCTGAGATATCTGTTTTTGGATTTTCATTTTTAACGTTCAATTGGGAAATCCAAAACAGGATTAAGAACAGTGGTCTTGAACGCCCACACATAATTAACAAAAAGAACCCCGTGCTTCAGGAGAACAGTTTTGCAAATCCTTTTTCGGATTTCCCAATCGAATGGTAAAAAGGAAATCCATGAAATGCAGATTTGAATTTCTTAATTGAAATCCACCCCAAGGATGGATTTCTCAGAGGTGAAATCCGTTTTCAGATTTCACGTTCGATTGCAAAATCCGGAATCCGGATTTCAAAATCTAAATCAGGATTTCCCAATCAAATGCAACCTACATGATCAGTGTCCTATACGAAAATACTGTTGATGAGATTTTAGTAAATGTAGGTTAATTACGTAAGCAAAACATTAATTTACATCAAGCTTATGTTCCTTTACTGCCATTTCTTGACTACGAAATATAATTTGGAACAAGGAGAATTCTTAAAACAGAAAGTTCAGAAACAAATCCGAGCTTAAAGTGAGAATCGAACTTACAACCCTCTGAGTTCTAGTTCGTAGGCTCTAACCACATTTAGTTATAACTGTTTTTTAACCGCACCGAGCCTGTTATAAAACAACTGTAGATTCTACATAGCCAACTGTTAAGCTCATATGTAGCTGATTTGTGCATAATTTTAATCCAAATATCTGCAGCAATGATTCGCGGAAACGCCGCTGGTTTAATTTACATTTAAGTAACATACAAGTAACTTACATACAATAAAAATGATATGTACGATGCTCTGACCTTTTCGCTTTTAGTACTTAGCTCAGAAATATTAGGTATGTGAATTTCTAAAATAAACACAAGTTCTGAAGCCAATAATACACAACTGAACGCAACGCACTTACCTCAGCCGACAAAACTCACATAGACTTCCCCACCATCCTCTGTTACAAATACACATGCCCGATCTGCAATATCCATTTTTACAATCATTATTAATTTTACATTGACTTGACACTGTTGTCAGGCATCCTAGCGCCAGAAAAAATGCAAAATTGAAGGTCAAATTGACACTTGGTTTGCGAAACATGACAAACATGGCGGAAACATCGTCTCTAAGAATCGATTGGAGCCTGCGATGCAAACCGCTGGTTTCTACGTAGCTAGCGTGACCACGCAGTGAGGCTTTGTGATTTCTATCACGATTCGTCGAAAGCGATTGGAGACACTAAAAATGATAAAATACTGTAAAGAACTGAAGAAATCATCCAAATATTGGATAAAAAAAAAAGAAACGATTTAAGAGTTGAAGAATTTTTTAGGAACAAAGGAGATAACTTCATGGACTGTAAATTAAAAAACCAATACAATGGCTACTGAATCGCATTTTGCTAGCTACAGTTGTTTTGTCTCGATAGTTTTTAGCAACTAGTTGGATTTTACTAAAGCAAATAGCCCTCATGGCCTCTGAGTCAATAGCCCATTCGGTGTTCGGCCTCATGTGCTATTGACTCAAAGCCCATTCTGGCTCGAGGAATAATTGTTAATTATTTTTACTATAAAATCTCGGATTCCTTTGTCCGTTTTGGGGGGGATATATTACATAACCCCCGAATCAACTGTCTGAAAAGCTGGGTGCGGCTTTGATTGTTTGAAGGGACGAGCGTAGACCGCGCGTGGTCATTTGCGTGTCTCGGGCGTTTTGCACGACGGACCAAAAAAAAAGAGAGACTGCTCGTAGTCTATATGTAGTCTAGGAAGAGCGGGGCTAATGAGCAGCTAATTAAAATGCGAGGGGATTATTCCCTTGTATATTAATTCATTATCCCCTCACATTTCAATTAGCTTTTAATTAAAAAAAATTAACAAATGTTTATTGGAAATATTAAACACGACGCTATATTAAATTACTAAAATGAAACTGAGCTGCGTTTCCTTTGCGCCTCATTCACGGATTTTCTTAGTTGTTGGTTCATCGACTTGATTCCACAGCCAGAACGACAGTTCGAAATTGAACAGCGTCTTTAAAATTCTACAGTTCCAGTCATGGTAAGGTGTTCCGTTCTTTAACCAGTCATCCCAAACTCGTGTACTGGCATGAAGACATATAGTTGAACTTTTTGTGTTTTGTGGTATTCTTGCTTCATTCCTCGACTGAATTTCCTTGTCAGTTCAGTACAGTAGTGATCCCTTGCCCGGAATTTTCTTTGTCTGTAAACATGCAGGTCGGTCGAAAGATCCTCGGTGCGAAAATGCTTGCTCGTTTTCTACACCCGCAAATGAAGATTCAAATTGTTTTCCCGCGAAAGCTCTTGCTGCACCGCCACTGAAGCTGCTTTAGCTTGAGTAATAAACGGCTCTACTTCTCATGGGCACCCAACGTCAATTTTCGGAAAATGTATGTTCGGGAGACGATTTGAGATCTAGAATTTTCGGAACATTTTTAGTAAAATTTCTTGCTTGCCTGCCTCTCCTAGGATTTTCGAACATCTAAAAAATGGTATAATTGCCCATTTTTAACGGATTTTTACTCTGAAAAGGTCAGCTAGAATTTTCGGGAGTCTTTTTTCTAGCTGAAATTTTCGAAAAGGTAGGTTTTGATCCCTATAAGTTTCGGATCACTAGACTTTCAGCTAGGAAATCCGAACAGATGAAAAATTTTTAGGGGATAAGAATATGCCTACAAATACCGTTTAAATACTAAAATACGTTTAACAATGCTATGTTTAAGTGGTCAGTTTGAACTATATTCTCGTTGACTTCTGATCTGGCTCTGAATCGCTCGACACCGCTAGGCCCTTTAGGCTGTTTCTAGTGATTAACTGCGAACCACTAATTTGAAATGCGACTTTGAAAAACCAACATAATTAAAAAGCCGAGAAACCTGTGAATGCCACCAGTGCCAGCATGGAGTGTTAAAAAACAAAAGAAAGATCAAGAATAGAGGCATTTTTTGTCAATGTATTTTTACATCCCTTGAGGAACTCGCTCACAAATGTAAAAATAAGCCGTTTATCGGCCTTCAGCTCTTGGTAATGTGATTTATTCCCCTCGTGCGTTGCCATGCCAGGCCAATGACGCTTATTTAATTTTATTTAAACTCGGATTCCTTTGTTCTTTTTTTGGGAGAATATATTACATAACCCGCGAATCAACTGTCTGAAAAGCTGGGTGCAGCTTTGATTGTTTGAAGGGAAGAGCGGGGCTAATGAACAGCACTTTAAAATGCGAGGGGATTATTCCCTTGCATATTAATACATTATCCCCTCGCATTTCAATTAGCGTTTCTATAAAGAAAAAATTCACAAATGTTTATAGAAATATTAAACACGACGCTATATTAAATTACTAAAATGAAACTGAGCTGTGTTTCTTTTGCGCCACATTCACGGATCTTCCTAGTTGTTGGTTCATTGATTTCCACAGCCAGAACGACAGTTCGAAATTGAACAGCGTCTTTAAAATTCTACAGTTCCACGAAAGTGTCGCGGCCATGTGTTCCGTTCTTTAACTAGTCATCCCAAACTCGTGTACTCCATGAAGACATATAGTTGAACTTTTTGTGTTTTGTGGTATTCTTGCTTCATTCCTCGACTGAATTTCCTTGTCAGTTACAGTAGTGATCCCTCGCCCGGAATCTTCTTTGTCTATAAACATGCAGGTCGGTCGAAAGATCCTCGGTGCGAAAATTGAAATTGTCAACTGCTTACTCGTTTTCTACACCCGCAAATGAAGATTCAAATTGTTTTCCGAAAGCTCTTGCTGTACCGCCACTGAAGCTGCACTGAAGTTGCTTTAGTTTGAGTAATAAACGGCTCTACTTCTGGCTCTGAATTGCTCGACACTGCTACTACCCTTTAGGCTGTTTCTAGCATTCACTGCGAACCACTAATTTGAAATGCGACTTTGAAAAACCAACATAATTAAAAAGTCGAGAAACCTGTGAATGCAACCAGTACCAGCATGGAGTGTTAAAAACAACAAAAAAAGATGAACAATAGAGGCATTTTTCGTCAATGTATTCTTACATCCCTTGAGGGGGGTATAAACTTTCTTTCCCTTAAAAGGAAGGCTTATTACGGAGGGAGGGGGCATAATTGAGAGGGGGAGCTTAATAGAGGATTTACGGCCGAGAATGAAATCATAGAGCCTGTGAATGAATACAGCCGTCTCATCTCGCTCTCTCCCCTTTCATATCTTTGAACAACACTTCTTGATGTTTTGCGATGATGGGTACAATGTATTGCGACATGAGTTATTACATTGTATTTGTTTCTTGTAACTGATGTTCCTTTTTTGCTTTTTGTGAATCTTAATGCCCATACCATAATAATACTTGTAATAAAATTATTTAACAATTATTCCTCGTGCCCGAATGGGCTATCGACTCAAAGGCCTTGAGGGCGAGAGGAATAATTGTTTTAACAAATCCAACTAGTTGGTCAAAATATCGAGGTAAAACAAGTTTAGCTAGCAAAACGCGATTCAGACGCCATTGTTTTGGTTTTCAAAGCAGGCGCTTTTCGCTACTAGTGGGCTATAACATATAGCCCTAGTAGTAACTCAACCAATCAGAACGCAGCATTGATAATTCAAGGGTTGCACGTGACGTTACCAAAAATCAAACTAAAAATCTATCGATTCTTCTGAGTTTTTATCTTCATGAGGTATTACAGTACCTAAACACCTTTACATAAACAAATTTTTGGTTCGAAAGGGTTCTTCGTTTTGCGAGAGAGGACGCTTGAATTTCCAGGCTTTTGCTTTTAGCTGGCGGCCGGGAAAGCTCTTATGTGGGTTAAAAACATTCCCGATTTTGGGAGGTTTTGCAATCTAAACATTCCTTGTCTCAGAATAAATATTACTGTAATCTTTATGAGTTCCTCAAGCGAAGAATTCACGCATTAGTAGGAAAGCTCGAAAACAGATGTTTCTGTTGGTATCCGGCGGCCATATTGGTGTTCCTGAAAGGGACACCAACATGGCGTTTCCATACAAAGCTTTATAAATTTAGGTAAACCGTTTTTGCCAATATCTCGCATTTGAAATATTTCACAGACCTGATTCTTGGTAAGGGTTTTTGTTTATTAATGTTTTTTCATTTCCCAGATTCTAGTCCTTCTGTATTGAATGGTTTGCATTTTTATATTTCATTGCGTGACAGTGCAAGCCGAGAATAGACCAGTAGTTGGATTTTACTAAAACTTGATAGAAAACCTTTGATTATTTTATTTTGCGCAAATCATTAGTTAGACGTTATGTTCACTTTACTGTAAACGGACCTATATAACTCCTTACGGAGAGTATAAAAGCACAATTAAGATGGTGTAGTTCCCCCCCGGCCCCCCCTCCCCAACCCTCACTGAACACTGTTCTCGTGATCGTGTGACGGATCGATGCCTGCATGAAGACATCTGCAATCCATCATCGAAAGAATACTTTCATCTCATCTCATCTCATCGGGATTTTTATCATAACATTTGAGCCTGGTTAATTTAGCGATAGAGCTCTCCAGGACGGTTTTCACTGATCGGGAAGAGAAAAAAGAAAAGTGAACTTGAATGTTCTTATGTTATTTACACTCCGCTCTCTTTCCGAGGTAAGCTTCACTTTGCATTAATGTGGTGGTCTCGACTCCAATGACTGATCTTAGTTGCCATATCGAGAATCGAAGCGTTACGTTATATTTGTACATTAAACTTAAAGCATCACCAACGATTCAACGGTATCCTTAAGCCTACCGGTATCGATGTCTAACTCAAGAGTTCATTATGAGAATCATCTCTTACAATATTAAAATAGTATTCAATTTGACCCGCAGTAAAGATATGATATTATCAAAAAGAGTTGTCGTCTGTCGGCCGTTTTAGTATTTGTCTTGTTCCTTTTGCATTTGAAACACAGCAGAAAACATAGGTTCCTTGTCAATCTACAACTTTCAAACCAATTCTGACGTTTTTGTTATTTTAGTCACTTAAGAAACGAGCCGAGGAACAAAACCGAATATTTTAGCTCAATACATATATTTTTTAATATCTGCTAGAAACATTTGTAGTGACAATCAATGTTTTGATATCATGCAGAGAAATTAAAAAAAGAGAGTATTAATAGATAA